GAAATCCCGACTTCGAAGAAAGTCCCCATTGCTTCTGAGTCTACCCGCCAGAAGAAAGAAGAATTCCATGCCTCCATCGAGGAAACTCCCGATGAAGATGAACCCATCCCACACTTGAACCCTGACCCGGATGAAGAAGATGAGGGATTAGAAATCCCAAACTTTGATCAGAAGTATGACGCTTGGATAAAGGATAACTTCGCACCAAAAGTCGAAGAATTGGCCTCCTTTTCCCTTACCGACGATGAATTCCTTATTGAATACTCCCAGGACGCCACCGCAGTATGCCTGATAGAGAATTTGGATTTGGATACTCCCCTCACCCGCGACGGTACATCGGCCTTTGAAACCAAGAAAATGGCAAAACCCCCCTCACTTCCTGAATACCTGAAGACTAGCAATAAGTCCCAGGAATTAGCCATGGAAGGTGAGATCGAGAAAAAGAAGAAGACTTTCGAAGAATTAGTCCCTTCTTACCTTCACGACTTCGCCGACCTTTTTGCCAAAGACGGTCTTAACTCTATGCCACCTCACCGACCCGGTATTGACCACAGGATTGACACCAAACCCGGATACATCCCCAAATCCTCCAAGCTCTACCCCTTATCTGAGAAAGAAAGGGTTGCGGTCAAAGCGTTCATTGATGAACACGTGAAAAAGGAATTCATCTCTCCCTCGAAATCCCCCCAATCAAGCGGCTTCTTCTTTGTTGGAAAGAAAGATGGATCTCTACGGCCTTGTCAAGACTACCGGTATATTAACGAATGGACGATAAAGAACGCATACCCCCTTCCCCTCATTCCACCACTCTTAGCGAAACTTCGCGACGCAAAGTACTTCACCAAGATGGATGTCCGTTCCGGATATAACAACATTCGGATTCACCCTGAAGACAGATGGAAGGCAGCATTTACGACTGAATTTGGACTCTTCGAGCCAAATGTCATGTTCTTTGGTCTTTGCAATTCTCCCGGTACTTTCCAGGCCTACATGAACCAGACATTCCAACAGGAATTGAACGAAGGATGGCTCATCGTTTATATGGATGACATCCTGATATTTTCGAAGAACCTAGAAGAACATCATGAACGGACACGCCGAATACTTGACATCCTCAGAAAAGAGAAATTGTTCTTGAAAGCGGAAAAATGCCTATTCGACGTACAAGAAGTCGACTACCTTGGAATGATCATCAAACCTGGACAAATCGCAATGGACCCTACCAAACTCAAGGGCATCGCAGATTGGCCTACACCGAAAACCGTCACTGATGTACGATCTTTCCTCGGATTCTGCAATTTCTATCGGCATTTCGTCCCGCACTTCTCTGACATCGCCAAACCCCTGAATAATTTGACAAAGAAGACCCAGCCATTCTGCTGGACTGAAGAAGAAGAAAACAGCTTCCAAGCACTCAGAAAGTGCTTTATGACGGAACCTGTCTTGAGAAACCCCGATCCTGCAAAGCAATTTGCTATTGCAACGGACGCGTCCCTAGTAGCAACTGGAGCAGTGCTACTGCAGACCGACGAAAACGGCGCTTACCACCCCTGCGCATATCTTTCTGCATCTCTCAACGCAGCAGAACGAAACTATCAGATCTATGATAGAGAACTATTGGCCGTCATCCGTGCGTTAACAGCATGGAGACACTATCTCGAAGGGCATGGACACCCTGTCATTGTATTCACAGATCATAAGAATCTCCTCTATTTCAGATCTGCTCAACAATTGACTCGCCGACAAGCACGCTGGCAGCTCACATTGAACGAATTCGACCTCGAATTCCATCATGTAGCTGGAACTAAGCTCGCTGCCCCTGACGCCTTATCCCGCCGTCCCGATCACCATCCCACCGAGACCGATAACCAGGACATTGTCCTGTTACCTGATGATATGTTCGTTCGTCTCATCGACATCGAACTAGAAGCGGCTCTGAAAGCCGATGATCCTACGGCGGACCCCATTGTCAAGACCGCCAGTGACGCATTAGATGGGTTATGCTTGCCCCCCATGAAATCAGCATTATCTGATTGGAAATTCGATAACGGTATCTTAAAGTACAAGAACCGTGCCTACGCACCTCCCGCTACCCGAAGCCGCATCCTGCAGCTTCACCATGATCACCCAACCGCCGGACACCCCGGCAGATTTAAAATGGAAGAATTAGTCAAACGTGACTATTGGTGGCCCCAGATGGGCACCTTTATTAGGAAATACGTCGAAGGATGCGCCATGTGTCAGCAGATGAAATCTGACACTCACCCCACTACTCCTCCCCTGAAGCCGATCAGCTCTTCCGGTGTACGCCCCTTTTCCCAGCTCTCCGTTGATCTAATCACCGACCTCCCCGAGAGCGGTGGTTATGATTCTATGATGGTCGTGGTAGACCACGGACTTACAAAGGGGGTAATTATTTCACCTTGCAAGAAGAACATCACCTCCGAAGGAGTAGCGCAACTATTTTTCAAGAAAGTTTTCCTACGCTTTGGGCTCCACGACAAGCTCATTTCAGATCGCGGACCGCAGTTCGCATCAAAGTTCTCCAAAGAACTCGGAAGATTACTAGACTATGAAGTTGCCCTATCTACCGCATATCATCCTCAGACCGACGGACAGACAGAAAGGTTGAACCAGGAAATCGAGACCTACCTTCGGATCTACTGCCGATCGAACCCTGAAACCTGGGTACAGCATCTACCTATGGCAGAATTCGTGCATAACCACCGAAAGCACGATGCACGGAACGCATCACCGTTCTTCCTGATGATGGGCTATGAACCTAGAGGTATACCCTACGCCTTTCCCCCTACCGACATCCCCGCGGCCGAGGACCGCGTCACCAACCTCCAGAAAATGAGAGAAGAAGCGGTGTCTTGCCACAACATCGCTATGCAACGAATGGCCGAAAGGACGCATAGGAAGAAGTATGAACCATGGAAGATTGGAGATAAGGTCTGGTTGTCAGCAGAGCACTTATTGACGCACCTACCCTCGAAGAAGCTGGCGCCAAAGCGGCACGGCCCCTTTACCATTACCAAGGTGCTATCTCCCATCACCTTCACACTCCAGCTCCCGGAACAATGGAAAGTCCACCCCACGTTCCATGCATCTGAACTATCTTCCTATCGGGAGACAGAGGTCCACGGCCCGAATTTCATCGAACCCTCACCTGACATCATTAATGGGGTTGAAGAGTACGAAGTAGAAGCGATCCTCCCGCACAAAGGAACAGCGGCACGCCGTCGCTATCTAGTATCCTGGAAAGGATACTCATCTGCTAGCAACGAATGGGTCAAAGAGACCGACCTAGAAAATTCCCAGACGCTTCTTAAAGCCTATAAGAAGAAGACGAAACTTGCTTGAAAGGATCAGCAAACCCAAGCAACCCCAGTCAAAGAAAACATGTCCACTGCCCCCTCCACTCTTACCCTCGATTCCGCCGAACTCCAGAACCAATTCATCCCTATCTCCCAGACCAAACGATTCGTGTTAGATGAACATTCCTCCCTTGCATCCTCCATCTCCGACTCCTCATCGTCAGAGGATACCGACGTATCACTTTCGTCCTCTCTATATTTCACCGTCATTGATCGTATTGAGGGAGACGCCCTCTTTGAAGCAACGCTATTATCTGAGCAACACGCACTCGAGCTGGAGAGAAAGCTCACCGAACGCCCAGCGAGGAGCGCGGCAATAATCGCTGCTATTATCAACATCATCAGGACTACCCGCCTGATTGAACTATCCGCAAACCGAATCCCTTCCACATCAGCACAGGAAGCACATGAAGTCATCCAGTGCCAGAGGCGCATCAGATCGATTGCGCTTCAGCTTCTCCCTGATAGCCTTAAGCCTGACTTGCTATCAGTTGTACATCTCGTTGCCAACCGAACCGCGACTGAAGTCGCTCGTCCGCCTTCTCCTCCTCGTCCTCTCTCCCGTCATCAGTCACCAGATCGTAACTCGCCTCCACTCCCGGTCAGAGCACCACAACCACAGGTTGCTTCCAGAGGAAGGAGACCTACCGGATACCAGATCGCTCGAAGGCGCTGTATGAGAGAAGATAAGAAGAAAGAAAGAGAGGTCATCGACCTTACATCCCCTTCCCCACCTCCTCGCATCTCCACAAAGAAGCCAGGCTTTGACAACGTCAAATGCCGCATATGTAAAGAATATGGGCATCGTCACAAAAACTGCCCTCAGTACTCCTGCGTGGTATGCCATGCCATCGCCCCTGGACACCTCTCTGTCTACTGCAAAGATCTTAGAGGAACCTACCCACTTCCGATCGTCTATACAGATGACGGATTCTATGAAGCCCTCCGCAACTGGGAGGCAGACCAAAGAGCATTCTATGAGCAAGAATGCGAACAAGCCGATGAAGACTATCGCAACCAGCCAAGCTCCTCTACGGACCTTGATGACTTTAACAACGCCGAAGCAGACCCTGTCTACTATGACGACGCTAGGATGGATTGAAGTCGGAGACTTCAACGGTTACACCGGGGTAATGTTACAATAACATTAACTCCTATTTCATTTTTCTTTCCTTTGTAACTATGCCGCCGATTCTAGACTCATCTAGACTCGGCTATTCTCTTATCAAGTGGGCTGTCCACACTTCTCTTCTTTCTGATTGTAACATAGATACTATCTTGCGCCGCATGGCGGTTTCACCTATCTTTGCTATCTTGATAGGTTATACTCTTTTTCCTATCTCTGTTACCTTTCTTGTCGCGGCTACGCCGTCTCCTTTTACCTATATAAACCCCATGTACCATAGATGTATTCCTTAACTTAATCTACTGGGTTTTCCCCTTGAATCCTGATCTACTAAGGTCTCCACCCTTAGTAGCCTGAACTCTGATTCTAAGGCAGTCACTCACTGTCTTAGCCTGAAACCTTTGATTGCGGTAGAAGTGCTAAAACCACTCGCCGCTGATCCTGCATAGAAGCCGCGGCTCGTGCAGTAGGAACCCCCAGAAACCTTCCTTGTATTAGGAAGGCCGACGAACTGTTTGCCCGACAGGTCTATCTTGACCGGCAACAGCAGAACTATCCCAGTCGTAACAGACACCAACATTGAAGCCGTTATGTATACCGTCAACGATATGACGCCAATCATTAAATATACCATATGTACGAAGGATCTCTTCCACCTGGAGGTAGTCGAGCGGGGTGACAACAGCGCGTGGGTCACCCGCGAGCCTTGCAGCTCCCAGCACCGTGAGAAGAATCTCCGCAGATGCTGCAGGAGTGGACATTTCTGCAGTTGGGACTGAAGGTGCAGATGGATCCATTGGCCCAATTAAAGCAGTAATGTTTTCCGTTTGAGGCAGCGAGTGCATGCTTGCTCCTGGCGTTGGTAGCGAGGGCTGCAACCGGTTTTCCCGCTGCGGTTGTATCGGCGGAACAGTCGGCGGGCAAGTGGCCACTTGCTCCGCAACGAAAACAATGGCTCGATACGAGTGTATGCGACTTTTTACGAGGGGAAGAATGAAAATCGCTCGGGGCAGCTCGCTTAGGGGGTGAGATAAACGGAGCAGACTGAGGTATGATAGCAGGAATTTTATTATTTGCAATGGTAAGGGCCGCTATGTCGAGGCCGGCAAGATTATGCTCGTGGTTGGCATGAGCCAATTCTCTTTGCTGCATGTCATAGTGCATTTCCACGGACCAGCCATGCGCACGGCCGATATCGAGAACTACGAGATGGTGAGATACAAGGGCTGACGCCCGAGCCTCGCCCCAATAGTGCAGGGTTCTATCCTCAGCAGCCTTTGCTGCCGCTATCCAATCAACTGTTACAATTAAGAGCTCGTTTGCACGGTCGAGACCTTTAGCTGCAAGCCCATCTTGTGTAAAGATGAAGGCTGAGTCCTCTCCACGCAGGAAAGCCTTCGAGCGAGCTGCGTATGTGAGAGCTGTGTATGGAACGTAGCGATATTGCTTAAAAGCCTCCTTGACTTTGAGGGGTATGGCTAGAACGGAGTATGTCAGAAAAACGAGTATAACGGTGCGGCAAAATGGGGGATAGAGCAGATAGCATAAAGAAAACGGAGCCATGAAGAAAAACCGACACAGTAAGGTGCGGAATTCACGAGTGAAAACGGTGATATTGCCTAACTAGGCTGATGGCTCGGTGTGGTGCTGTCGGTGAGCTACTGAAAGGTAGCCGACGATGCGAGTGCGGTATACGTGGGATAACCATGAACCGATACGAACGATGGTGGAGACGGACTTACGCAAGCTCAGAGCACTGACTTTGTGCCCTGGTTGGAGGGCAGGTAAGACGAGCTGTTTAGGCTCGTCTTTAGCGCCAGCGAGGTTTGCTTGTATACACAGTCGACATCCGCAGGGTTCGCTACCAGAGCTTGTTGAGGAGCGGGGGCTCTGGCCGGTATATGGATGCCATGAGCGTCCCCATGCTCGAGCTCGGCGATGCGTGCCCTTAGAGCGGCGATTTCGTCCGCGGGTGCGGGTGCAGCTGCTGGTGGTGCTGCTACTGGCGGTGCTGCTGCTGGCGGTGCTGCTATTGGTTGCGCGACCTGAGGCGCTGGAATAGGCGCTGCGGGTTGAGTGGCGTGAACGGTGGAGGGATGGGCACGCTGTGGTGCTGGATGCTGGGCTATCTGCGATGCAGGCAGCTGAGGTGGACCAGCTTGGGCTGGAGGCCTTGGGGCAGCAGCTGCTCTGCTGCTTGGAAGAGATGGCGTTGTGGATGACGACGGCTGTGCGATTGAATTGGAACCAGATGCGGATGCAACCTGGGTTGATGGGGGAGTAATGGGAGCATTTGGCGCCCCTTCGTTTAATTTGATACCGAGGTGCTGATACATTAGAAATTGTAAAAGAAACGATTGTAGGTACGGACAGTAGTGAGGAAGTATGCTGTACGACGAACTCGTCATCGTGTAGGAAAGGAAAATAGATACAGAAGCGAATAGCGCGCGCACTCAGCTGGACGTATGGTGCCGAGACATTCTGGCAGGCTCCATTTCTTGGCACCTGTACATAGTCTGACGACAACCGGATCTCAGTGAGACCTAGCCGATACTTGTCAACAAGTCAATATTGATTTGTTCTTGATCGGTAATAGCTCATCCGCTACAGGTTTGGACATTGGTTTTGCATGGGGATATTGAAGAAATGATGAAGGCGAAAGAAGCTAAAATATTCTGCCTTCATCTGAGAAACCACACAATCACACTTTGCAGGTAAAAAACCTGGAAGGGCTTCACATGTACAATGCCGCGACAAATGAAACGACCTGCTCTGCACTACGCGGGATTAATGTTAGTCCCGAACGCGATAGCGTGGCTAGACACAAATCATGAGATAGATTGCGAACATAATCATTTGGCTGAAGGTTAAGTAATCGACAACCAGAATACCATTACCCAACCTTCATCTTTAACAGTCGGGCACCAGTGATGTACAGTGGGGTTCTGATATCGAAAAATCTGTCACAAGCTTATCTCTACATTGTCCTTGGCGAATGGTTACATGTTGAATACCTCAAGGTTGTACCAATTATCCTCCTGGATGGCAGGGTGAACTACATTGCATGCGATCCAGACAGAAAATCACGGACCTGAAATTCCTCTGTGAATACTACATCAGGCATTTGACCACAAATTGACAAACCTTTAGCTAGTATTATTTAATGCATAATAACACACATATATATCACAATTGCAGATGACATGATAAGAGAATAGATAGGCAGACTACACTGGTGGGATCTGCCAAAGCTACCATATTGGTAGACCTATGGTGGCAAGCTGTGGTCTATTTGCATCCAGTTATTATATTGTCAAATATCTCTACCCTTACATAAGTTGTTAGAGATGGTGGACCATGCCATCACCAACAGTGCGCCAGCATGTGGCAATGAGTCAGCGTGGGGTGGTGGAATGGCGAGCTTTTGCCAAATATATCTAGCTTGAGACAGGCAGACTGCAACGGTGGACCATGCCATTGCCAACAGTGTGCCAGTATGTGACAACAAGTCAGCATGGGGTAGTGGAATGGCTAGCTTTTGCCAAATATGTCTAGCTTGAGACAGGCAGACTGCGATGGTGGACCATGCCATCACCAACAGTACGCCAACATGTGGCACTGAGCTATCATACTGTAACAAGCTGTTGATCTGTTGTCAAACACAAACACCCTCACAAAGGTAGCTTCTGATGGTAGATTCTGCCATTCATAACATTGTGGCCGCATCTTACCATAGCAAGTTGTTGATATTTTGGCAGACATGCAAGATGGAGGAGCAATAATCAATTATATTCTGTCCTTACAATATGTAGATATATACACTACAGAGCATGTAGAACAATGTCGTGAAATATATAATTAATTAGCAGCATCATTGGTCAGTGCTTGAAGGGCAGCGCGCTTCTCCCGAATTTTGGATAGCGCGCTGTTTTTGCTGATAGCTTGCTGTGAACTGGAGGAATTAGGGAAAATGCAACTGTGATGTGTTAATGTAGAGCTCGAAGTTAATGAGATGCATTATGAACCGTGTCCACCAAGCCATTAGGTCTACTACTTCCTCAGTCTTGTCTGGATCCTCCAATAGGTCAAGAATGCTGTGATAAAAATTTTCCGAGTCCGTAACAGTGTCCGTGCGTGAAAATACAGACGAAGAACTCAATGAAAACCGAACCTAGAACAGTAAGTAAGGGGGTCATCTTGAAATTTCTAACACACCTGTGTGGCAATGTAAGCCAGGGATCCTTTCATCACGGATTTCATCCCATGGAGGTGTGCGTTACTGGAGCGCGTGGCTTTCGGTTCCTTTTCTACGGAACTTGGAGAGGTAAATACATGTTTGAACCCCTATTAAAAGAAATATAATTGAGTAAGAACACGACCACTGATAATGTCCTCACAAATATAAGTATGTCGCTCCTCAATAGACCCTGCCATGGATCTTCGGGATCATAGGCATACTTAGTGTATAGAAACATCGGCCACTGGTCGCCACGGACTTCTATTTCACCGATTTTAAGATTCTGCTTAGTTCTGAATAGTGTTGTGGTGGGTATCTTCATTGAAAAATGAAAGGGCTTACTTGGCATTCGACCAGTCGAGGCCTGCAGGGCAGAGCAATGCACCGGTCACTTCATGATTGAAACTGTGATCAGATTTAATGTTTCGGGAGAGAGGTGGTATAAGTGGCTGGCCTTTGGGCATAAGCCATTCGAGCACAGCAGATTTGAGGGTTTTTGTGTCGTCGCCTCGCGCACTGGAGGCTCCTTTGCCAATCTACGAGAAGATGACCATGAGTAGACCTTTAAGTATTTCAATACTTACCAATTCTCCGACATGGATGACATCTTCCTCCTCGCCAGTTGTCAGACATTCTAGAAGATTAGGATAGGAGTCTACAAGCTCCATAAATACCCTATGTTCACGTCGAACGCTAAAGTTGAAAGTACTGTTAGACACTGCTAGTATTCAATTGACGCGATTCTACTCACTTGGCTGGATAATCTTCTATTGAAGAATCCTGTAATTCTTCGAGTCGAAGAATACCTCCAGTCAAAAGAGATGGATAATTGCATAGTGCGAATACCGTCCGACCGAAGTGTTGCCCATGGAGAACCAGGGGATTTGAAGAGGCACTGATGAAGACATGTCAGGACAAGTGTGTTTCAAGATGAACCCTTATGCTTTTTTACATGGGCCCATGTGAAGTGCCGAACCACTACGCTTGCGAGAAGTATCGCCAGGATGGGGATTGTTTTCGTCACCACTCATTCTAAGATAAAGGAGCAGACGACTCATGTCAGTAGTAGGTGAGGTGAGACTTTATACCTTCGAGCACGCCATCAGATTCAAAACGGGAACGGACCTTGGCACACTATGCCATAAATATTATGGATGGCATATTATCTGAGTGCCATCTGAGCCGCACCATCAGGATCGGGACTTGATGGTGTTATGTCACCTGCTGGTGCCGTGAATCTGGCCGGTACACACAGGCACACACGCAAGCACACACATATATAAATTGTTGGCAGCAATAGTCAATATCATATCATGCACAATAGCATGCCAGACTCACCCTCTCAGACACGTTTGCGACAATGCATTCTCATTGCAAGCAATGTCACACTAGGGTTAGTGTTACAATAACATTTACTCCTATTCTATTTTTCTTTCAGTAACCATGACAACGAGTCTAGACGCATCTAGACTCAGTTATTCCCTTATCAAGCAGGCTGTCCGCACTTCTGATCTTCTTTGATTGTAACATAGAGACTATCTTGTGCCGCATGGCAGTTTCACCTATCTTTGCTAGGTTGTACCTTTCTTCCTTATCATTCGAAGTGCACTTACTGTTGGTCCATGCACTGCTCCCTTATGTATATAAACCCCATGTACATCAGTAGTATTCCCTAACTTAATCTACTGGGGTTTCCCCTTGAATCCTGATCTATAAGGTCTCCACCCTTATAGCCTGATACCTGATTCTAAGGCAGTCACTCACTGTCCTTAGCCTGAACTCTTGACTGCGGTAGAAGTGCTAAAACCACTCACCGCCTAGGCAGAAGTGCTAAGACCACTCGCCGCTGATCCTAGACAGAAGCTGCGGCTCATCTAGTGAGAACCCTTGACACCAGAAACCTTCCTTGTACTAGGAAGGCCGACGAACTGTCAACTTGATAGGTCTATCTTTGACCTTTGACAGAAGACCTATCCCAGTCGTAACAGTTAGTTCTTCGAATATGATATGACGTAGTACAAACTCACAATGTTCACCTGAAGCTTCCAACTTCCTTTACTCCACACACCAACTGGTACTAAGTGCAAGTGAGTGACACTGTCACATCAAAACGCAGAACAAGACTTACAGTACAGGTAATTCCATCTAACAACAACAGAGCAACGCAAACTAAAGGTGAGATTTCTTAATTAAATCTGGACGTCGGTCTAACAAAAGACCCACCTAGGTGTCGGCAAAAATTGTGCGAACAAAGTGAGGTCTGAACTGAATCAACTTGAGGAACAGTTAAGAAGCGTGGAAGAACGTATTGCGTACTTCACAGACAGGGTGATAGTGTACAGATATAGATGGCTCGAAGAGTACTACCGTGCCGACAACCTTGAGCATCACATGCCCAGTGACATTTACATACCCGACCTTGCTCAGATTCCCCTGGGTACTTCTTCTCCTGGAAACTCTGCAGAGTTCTTGGCCTGGGAGAGCATGTGAGGGTTCCACACGGGGAGAAAAGTGAGATAGGGTCTCTGAAAAATGGATGCAGGTGTGCGAGGGCCTATCATGCGCCAAATTGTTAAATTCATCACTACTCAAATGTACTACGATCTGTACACTATTACATCACGTGTTGCACCAGTTTGACAAGACATATCAGCTCGAAAGCAAGAGTAATATAAGTTGTAGGCAAAGTCGCAACCTCGACAGTATTCTTCTTCATATTGCACCTCGTGACTGTAAAGATGCGACCACAATACTCCCCACTCAGAATGAAGACCAGTTGGTTTTTTCTGCGTGGCTGGGCTGGGCTGAGATCTTGGCAGGGATGTGGTAATGCTGAATGGCGGCGCCTGCATTGCTGGATGTGCAGAATACAGCAACACAGTTGTCAGGTGCCAGTCCATTCGCACCGCAGAACGGGTCAGGGCATGCTGTTGACACATATTGTTTGTGTAACCTGCCTCCCATAAAGCGCACCGAAACTTTGAGCACCGCATGATGAAGAAGGAACATCGATGAATACTCCTTCCCCATCAACCAAGGCAATGATACTGTGATAAAATAAAATAAGCCACACACTTGATTCCTCCATTGTATTACTCACCATTGTCTGAAAGTTTCTCCACTCTGGCACCGATTTCATCTTGAGTGTCCTCAGGGTTGACAACCCAAGGGTTATATTCCGAGGTGTGGGGAGTGACACGCAATGGGGGACGATCTGCAATATCCTCCGGGTTGAAGCTCCAGGAAGCCCATGACAGATTATTAGCTGACAAGGTAGATGGAATTCATTCAGGTGGTGGAGTGACACTCTGCTGTGGCACCGTCGTTGTTGTGTATGATCTTCTCCGGATTTCGCAGAATGAAATCATCTCTAGTCCCTCCTGTATAACACCATTTAATCTCATTCCATAGCTAACAACCATTAACAATTTGGCTGCCGCAAAAGTTTCTGCAACACTCACCTCGTGACAACGTCACGGCGTCTGACAGTAGTGCGCACTTGCCCATGCACAGCGACGGTGCAAGTGTCAGGAGCGAGATTGTATAATGTCGCTCGGTAACCTTTCAGGTCGCCCCCAACAATGAACACTTCTTGGCGAATAAACTTGTTGAATGAATCTAAGTTCACATTGCGGCGCTTTGTTACAAATGTGATTGGGACTTCGACCTGTGATAGGTCAGCCATGCTCGAGTCATAGTAATTGATACTTACGAGGGTGTGATCACCGTCAGAAAGAAGGGTCAAGCATGCATTTGGAAAATCGACACTCTGCACAACCCCTCTCCTCTGATACTCTGGCCCATGGGCAACACTCACCATGTCTCCAGCCTTTACATCATACCCCCTTTCCTTGGTGAATATTATCGTAGTTGGGAGCTTGGTCCGCTGAACAATTGTTGCGGGAACACAAATTCTTGATGGTCCAACACTAGGCTCAACGTCATCCCCAACCAAGAGAGGATTCGCGTCCCGGAACCACAACATGGTTCCCTTCATAGCAATCCACTCCACAATGCCGCATTTCTTGAAGTGTGGACCTGCAAGCACTTCTATATGGTCCCTGATTTGTATAGATTCAGCCTCAGGAAGAGGCTCCAAGTGTTGCAGCGAGGGTAGCCATGTTTGAAGCATGTGATGCAAGGGGCGACAGTCTATGTACAGTTGCGGACAGGCGAAGTCCGCAAATTTACAGACCAAATTTTCTGGGACGCACAACTTAACGGAAAGTGTTAGAAGCAGTGTTTTCATAGACTAATGGACATCTAGAATACATTTGCACGAGCTGATTTCTCATGGCTGCCATTTTGACATTTCCAGTGTCCAAAATTTGGCATGCCCCCTAAAAATTCGCTAAAAATATGGAAAAATGTGCAATCGATTGCTTTCGCTGAGTTGTCTTTGAATCGATAATCAGAAAAACATGAGTCCGTCAAAAAATGGCATGGGAAAAAACCTGTACAATTGACAATTGAACTCATCATGGCTCGCGGCCGTCCCAGAAAAAAAGCACGAAACATCACTGGTCTTCGACATCAAGTATCGCAAAGTGTTTCTCCTGCATCTGCATTGGGTTCGGCGGGCTCGACTCGAGAATCAAGTCCTTGTCAAACGGAATCAGGCTGGCAGTCTGATTTGGAGGATGAGACACTTACAGTGGCTTTCAATGGATTAAAGATCAACTTCGAGCAAGAATATGAATATGTTGACCGTGGATCAACAGACTCGGATGAATCGGACATTGATGAAGAGGTTGAACTGGATGTGTTGAATGACGAAGAATTTGGGAAGAAGCTTGCAGAGATGGCAGCAACAGAAGATGGGAAGGATCCTGACTGGATTCCTGAAAGGCTGCAAAGGAAGATGCAAAAAGCTGCAGCGAAGTGCAAGTGTGAGTGCAAAAGCAACAAAAAATACCATACAACTCACCTCCCTGAAGCACAACCTGCAACCTATGCTAAGGGCCCCGATGTCATGAGCAAGTCCAAGCGGACACAGCAACGCTATCAGAAAAGTTGGAGGGGCCAAACATCACTCAGTTCATTCGGATTTCAGCAAACATGAGGCTCCATTGCTCCTGGTGGGCAGCGCAACACAGTCATCCCTCTAAATAATCCTGATATCTCGAAGCGCGGACTCGTGCAAAAGATGACTAATGCAAAAGACGAACCAAAGGGCCTGAAAACTGTTCTCGAGGAGCGTGGATTTAATGTCCAAGGCTTGCGTGCGAAGTGCTCTCCTGTTTGTCCAATCAATAACAAAAGTTGCTGTATGGCACGACTCCTCAGTCAACAAGATGATTTCTCGTGTCAGACATCGATGCTCGAGGAGTTGATTAGAAGCAAGGGTCACGAGTGTATTTTTCTGCCGAAATTTCACTGTGAACTGAATCTGATCGAGATGGTAAGTGGTCCGTATATCCGAAGTTAACTCATAGCCTTAACTGTTGAGGCAGTACTGGGGCTGGTGCAAATACCGTTACCGCGAGGCATCAAAACCGAGCTTTGCAACAGCCAAGAAAGTGGCGCGGGAAATCCTTGATTCCTGTCCAGTCGAGGTTATCTGGCGGTTTATCAACAGATCGTACCGTTTTATGAGTGCATACAGAATAGGTTTGACTGGGAAAGCAGCAGAATGGGCTGTGCGCAAACAGAGACAGCACCGTCAGGTTTCGCAGCGTGCGATGATGGCAATCGAAGCAGTTCTGTCATAGTTTTATTGACATGTCATGAAGAAAGTATCATACGAGACGTCAAAAAATTTGGCGTGCCAAAAATGTCGTGGGAAAAACCTCGGAGCAGTGTTTTTAGCTGTATTTTCACTGCCTGAGTTTGGATCGGGCCTCAGTTTGGCCTGAAAAAATCACATGCAGGCCCTACAAAATTTGCGGACTTCGCCTGTCCGCAACTGTATTTGAAATTTTTTGGCAGTGCGATAGTAATTGACGCCAGGATGCATTTTGCGATGGTGCCAGTGTATGTTGCTTAGTCTAATGCCAAAATCAGAGCACCAAAGGCTATTTTACATACTTAAATGATTCTTTGCCATTGTCGCAGGTACAATGGCTTCCTCCTCGAGTATCCCTCACAATCATCATCATATGGGCGAACTGATACTGTTCAATTCCTTTATATATGATACCCTCGGCCTCATACCTATTTCTGTGTGTTTCTTGTGACCATTTGAGCTCAGTTCACCCAACTTACTAGGTTATTTTAGGGCAGCTTCATCAATGTGGATGATGTCGACTTCATCGGGTATTTGGCTTTGGGACTTAAGCCGACGTTATACCCTCTATATGCAAGTACTCATATTTCTAAAGTATTAACGTGTTATTTATTTTGGACCTAGTGTCACCCAATGCTGCATGATGATGTACATGGTTGATTTTGCGGGAGGGCTATATACTCACTCCTTCCTAGCTGAGAACACAGATTTCTCTGTATGGTTACGTTTCAACTTCAATCGTGCATTTTTCAGCCTTCAAAACAGAACAAAGCAAGGAAGTCCCGGTATATGTTAATTTTGTAAGTCAAACATCTACTGTGTCTGGCTGTCCGCTGAGCAGCCTTCTAGCTTCAACCTGCCATTGAACGGTTGAACTTCCCTGCCAAATCTATGAGGATGGGCCCTGACAATCGCTTTTATGTCATATACGACTTGGTAAGTCTGCCTCTCATTTCCATATATCTCTTGCGTGACAATACATCTTAGGTTAATTCTGTCGACTCTACCACCGTTGTTCATATCGCACACCATCCTACTGGCTATCACCCTTGGTCTGACTTCACTACTCTAGGTTCCATGTACAATTTGTGCAACAGCAGCAGCCCTGCAATCCTCCCCTCTTCCTCTACATTGTTGTCGAGCAATGTAACACAGACTCACACTTCAAACAAGGCCGAATTTGTAACAGGCACGCACCACAACCAGCATGTAACATCCGTAGCTGCAACCAGCGCTCAAACAGCCGCGTCATCATCGTCAACGATCTATTCATGGGTCACATACTCGGTTGGCATGATGGACAATGCATCCACCAGTGCTCGTACATCCCAGGTAGGCCCCAGATCATCCTGCACCACTTCTGCACAATGAAAGGGAAAGGTGCCCAAAAAGGACAAGGTTAAATCCGAAGGAGGGCTGAAAAGAGTGATCAAAGATGCCGATAATTGGAAAAAGGCCCTTGCGTATCTCCGGGCCCTACTACAAGTCGCAGTTTGCCTCGGCCATATTGACAATCCCTTCCTGCTCAATTCTCAACGGAGGGCAATGGCCATTGACGATGTCTGGCCTCAGGCTCTCTCGCGGGCTAATATCAGTGCTGGTGAATTGGAAGATGGTGAGGAACTCAATCCCTTTGATACCTACTGAAATTCTGACCTCTTTCTAGTCAAATCATCTAAAAGCAAGGACAAAATGACTACTGAAAATGTGTTGGCACTCGTACGTAGCATTTGAACTTTCATTTGCATGTCTCATCCCAGAATAGGCCAACCCATCGCTGGCAGAGTTCATATACAATATCAAGCGCTTGGCATTCAGCTCGATCGGCCACCCTCATGGAGGTTTTGGCCTCGACGATGTAGCTGCGGGTGTTTTGTTGGTCGAGATGGTCCATGATCTGCTCAAGCAGTTCATCAGACCAAGGTCACATCTTCTTCCGATCAGAGTAAGTGTTTCGCACTTTTATCAGTCGTCTCTCTTACTTCACCCTGCAGGATAACGGTTTTGCGTGGTTCCTTTGCCAACAAATCGCCAAGGAGATCATGTGGCACATTGTTTTCCGTCCCAGTACAACTCATGGTGCTCCACTTGTGCTGGCCGATCTCAATCCAGCAGATTTCAAAGACGTTGATCATCCGCCCTATGCAACCATGTCTCTGTTGGGGTCTAGTGTAGGTCTTTTTTCGCTCCGGTTTTTCATCTATTTGAATTTTTAAGTGCTACTGCGCCCTACTACAGAAATACTCAATCTTAACCAACGTCCCTGTCGACTTACTTGTACAGTATCCAACCCCAGCTACTGTGTACGAACAGCTCTGCAAGACGGCTGCTACCCTCGTTGCGGAGCACAATGACGTGGTCACCCGGCACTCATGGCGACCTTGTCCGATCTATGCCACATTGTGTAAGTTCATACGCAATCTGAATTCCACACTACTAACTACTGCAAATAGTGCCACCAATGTCTATCGACTTGGCCGAAGTGACAATTAAGATCCTTACATGCAATGTCTTGTTTGTATGTCATTTACATCAGTCTTGTTTTACAAAGCAATGTTTGGTATCTGTCGAATTACAGACATATTTGAGGTAGTATAAGATTGACTCGCCCTCACTGTGTGTTTTTGTCTGTCAAGCATATGAGTTGCATGCAAGCAAGTCCGTAGCTCTCAAATGCAAACAGGATACGTATACATTTCAGAATCAAGACATGCCAAACGACATATGAAACACTCTACGCAAACAGGATACATTTACATTCGAATTCAGAACATGCCAAACGCCATGAGAATCACTCTCCACTCAAACAAACTCCAAGCCCAAGAGGAGCTCAATCTCGCTCAACTCTTTCCATAGTTGCTTCAAATTATCTCTTTTTTCCCCGAGTATGAGTGTCAGTATGCATCTGTCACGACGCGACATTGGAATGGGAGGGCGGGGAGGATGTGCTGCATGCGGATGGGTCTGTGCATGCTCTTGCTCATCCTGCACGATCGTCTGCGCATAGTCCCAGAGAGCCTGGTAAGTACAGCTTGCAGTTAACAATAAGGAGTAACTGACGATAATCTAAGACTTACCATCGCGGACATCGTGACCACGAATCCAGACTGGTGCTCCACCTTGTTGCTGCACCTATCGCCCCACATCGTCAACCTTCACACACTGGATGGGCATCTGTAAGGTACGTCTATCACATACGTTATTATCAACCGCGCTTCCATCTAAAGCTTGCTGAATCTGTTTCAAATGAGTTCGTCAGCCCCTTCTCCTCAACCGTTGCCAATGGCTTACCATGTTTGTGCCAGCTGTCCCAGCTCAACTGCCCCCCGACAGGTCACGTGACTTATCACGTGACCTTGGGAACTTATGTATGTGCCATGATGAACATTGTGTGATGCCTACCGAAAAGTGTGATACTCTACCTACATGAACCGAGACTCGTCATCTGACCAAAGGATATGCTCGAAATCAAAATGCAAGAGAGTGCTACCCCATGATGACCCAAAGATGACTTGTCAAAAGTGTCGGGATGCAGACAGACTTAGTACTGCTGCTCGGAGGAAGAGGAAGCGAGAACAAGAACAGGAACAAGAAGCTCCCCGTCCTGCTCCATCTCCTCCTGCCGGCAATATAGACGAAGGCACAAGTCAAGCAGCAGACCCAGAGTCCAATGATGAATCCACCCTAGTCAGTATTCAAGATGGATTCAAGGAAAAGGGTACTTACATGCTATCACAGTATGAGAATGCTCAGTGTCTATTCGCAGCCCTACGAACCTCGTTTAAAAGCTCAAATGATGTCCAATTTCATGGAAGTTACCTTGTACCTGAGGATCCAATCACAAGTGAAAAAGAGAGGGTCCAAATGGCAGCACTTGAGGTCTGGAGGACAACCGGATATCGTTTCAGGTAAGTCGAATAAGGTGCATGGTTTTGACGCTTACCGTGATATTTACAGGGTACAACACAACTACCCCCTCAAGACAGGACACAAGACAATTCTATGGTGTTGTCAAGATGAGGACAAGAAACAGAAATTCCGGCCAAGCCAGAAGGAAGGTGTCAAACACCGTGATACAATTGGAATGAAGTGCTTCCCTTGTCGGAGCGCTCTTACCATATCTTGCTGCAATAGAATGGGTAACCAAATTAACGCGCGCACATTATCCATTAGGATGAGGCATCATGACGCACATGTGCCTTACTACGATGTGGCTATGCCATCAGATGCGACCCAGATTATCCGTGACCAGCTCGAGTGGAGTAGTCCGAGCTCATTGGCCCCGAAGATCCAGGCACTTTATCCTCGTATCACAGCATCACAGGTACATTTTGCATGGATGAAGATGAGCGAAATACTCTGGAAAAAAGATTCAGATCAGCTTACCTCAGCAAAGATGCTGTTGGACGAATTTGGTCGAGATATTGATGTCTTTGATGTAGAATTGGCGGATGGCGTGGAGCAACTATGTTGGGGGATGAAAAAGATAACCCAGCGGCTAGAAGGGAAGGTGGTCGAGATTGGCCTTGATGCGACATGTGAGTAATGGTGTTCTGGTTAGCTATATTGACCATGGCTCACATAAATCGTCAGACAACACAAATGCTAAACACCTAGAACTGTATAGCGTGCTCGGTGAATTTGATAATGCTGGCTTTCCATTATCATATTGCTTGCTTTCGACTGCAACTGCAATCGAAATTGGGAAACGAACAACAGCACTGCGACAATGGACAACTTACCTTCGAGACAAGTATGGCATCATTCCACGATTTGTTCATGTCAATAAAGACATGGCCGAAATCAGCATGTCCAAATCTGTCTGGCCAACGGCAAAGATCCAGCTTTGCTGGTGGCACCTGCGGAAAGCCATTCGAGAATGATTAGCAAAATCAAAATTGTCAACAACTCCATACAAGCCTGCTCGTGCAAACCACGAGTTTCCCTTCATCGACATCTCATTCGCACCCGCAGGTACTGCAGACACTGGAGAATTCGAGGGTGGTGTCCTTCTCGAACCCGATGAAATCCACCCTGAGGATGAGGCCGTGCCATCACTGTCAATTTGCATCCCAAACCTGTCTCAGCTCCATTCCAGCAGAGATTCGGAGCCTAATGATGTTGATTCAGTGGATGATGAAATCAATACCAACAGAAATCCGCTAACAATCAAAATCAAGATACCAAAGAAAGGTCTTGAAGAACGATCAGCAGACATTCATTCCAGAGTATTTTGTCCCACTCACCTTCGCGAAACGGTAATTGCACTGATCGAGCACCACTTTTGTGCCCATCCACTAATACCGGGCTACTCGCATCCAAGCGCTGTTGGCATCCATCAGTGGGCGGTCAAACAGATGTATACATTTTGCAAAGAAAACAATCTTTGCGAGGTTTGGGCTTACCTATGGGAGAATTGGTATCGACGTGGCCGGTGGGAGCTTTGGGCACAAGCAGTTGCACCAATGGAGGTACCGAGACTAAAGACGACTATGATAATGGAAAGCCAGTGAGTAAATCATTCAATAAGTATATAACATGCACTTACCGTTCGAATTCTAGCTGGCGTCGAATCAAGGTTGACTATTTGTACCATTTTTCGAAGCCTCGTATCGATCTTCTGGCATGGATTTTAGTCACCAAGCTCGCACCATCATACTCCAAAAAATTAGATCACTTACTCCACGACACTGGCCGTTTTCGGGAATTGTCGTCATGGCGCAAATCATTCAAAAGCGAATGGCAACGAGCGCTCGAGACACCGATAACAATGCCCATGAATGCAAAATATCGCCCCGATGTTGGAAAGTGGATGTGCACCTGCCCGCACTTCGTCAAGAGCTGGTTCCTTGTCTGCAAACATCTAGTGCAAGACGTGCATATAGTTAGCCCAGTGTTTTTCTTGGAAGTTCAATGTAACTGAACATTACCTTTCTGGTCGCACCCATCACTCGTTCCATTGCGTGACAGCCTTCCTCCCGATTCCACGGTACAGCAGACATTGCAATACTCGGTGAGAGGAGGGGAGGACGCCCACGAGAACCCAACTGGAGTAGAGGGAAATATATTTGATAGGGAAAATGAAGAAGTGGAAGATGAGTTTGTGGATACAGCGGCCGGACGGATGGATACACGCACCTTTCAAGAACGCTTCGAGGCACACATCAAAAACCTCCGTGATTTTTGTGATGGTCTCCAGTATCAAATCCAGTTCAACGATCACAGGATGCTCAATGCCATCGAGCGTGAGGGTGCATCATTCATCCGCCTGATGGAGAATTGCCTTGGTTGAGAGAAACGAGAGAATTCGTCACGGCAGAGGAGTCCAACAACATGGGAAAGGGAAACATCGAACGCGATGTTCTATCGCACCCGCGCTATCAACTGCCAGTGATGAAAGTACATAATTGTATTACCAGAACATCAGATTCAAAAGAACATACAATACAATTACATACTATTGCCAAAGATAAGCATCGTGTGTTAGTCATTGTTACACGTCGTTCATAAGTCACGTGAAGTCACGTGACCTGTCGGGGGGCGGTTGACCTAGGTAACTTATGTTTGTGCCTACGTTATGTTGGAGTTGATCCATTGAGTTGCGAGAGAGATGTGTTCGATCGACGAGGTAAGCTGATTTAATGGTACTAGGTTCAAAGTCAGGCTTATGTAATATGAGAGTTGAAGGTGATTTCTGTTCTGCCGTGTTCAAGTCATGCTTCAATGTTCTTGTCAGTATATCATCGTTTGGGCACCTGTCACTCCTGCAATCACTGTTGCAGTGCTCACCCCTCAAGGTAATGCTATCTCGTCCTTTTGTGCAGCTTCAGGCTGAATAGGTATGTTTTCAGCCCGTCATTGTAAATCGAGCTCTGCAGAATATACTTTAACATCCTCTTCCTCAGTTCTTCAAAATCTGAAGAGTCATCTCGAAGCTCATTCATTTTATTGCTACTCTATTCCAGCTCCACCCCACCGATGCATGTCAGCCTTTGAATGTCATTTCACTCACATGCATTTATGGCGGGACCATCTCTGCATCAGATTGAAATCTATCATTGAACATCTTCTGCTTATATAAGGCTGAAAATCTGATACCTATACCATCCACTCTCGCCAAGCGGTCACCTTCCCCTAGTATATCTATTTCAAGCCAGCTTGGTGTGGTGCCAAACATGGATCCCATACGCATGTTGAGAACCTGTCATGTGTTCCTGCATATGTTATCTTGTTTTAAGTTATTCTTAGGTGTCAGGATGCTCACTCCTTGTCAGCTTTCGGACATGCAATGAAGGCACCACACGCTGTACATCTTTAACCTCCTGAAGAACCTAATCAAACCCTCTTCCGAGGGTCTCCCCCATCATCGATTTTATTTCACGCTCTTGGTTGGGTGTTTTATCCCTCCAAATTCATCTACTCACGCATGGCGCATTTCCTTCTTCAGCGCCCAGAACTTGACGTGGCCGATGTCCCAATGCTATATGACATGTTCTATGGCACCTCAGATGACTAGAAGGAAGAGCATGGATGGATCGTTAGGTTCCTGTCTGACGGTATGACGAGCACAGAAGATTGGAAGGTGCTTAAATGCCGACGACATACATGAGAGTTTCTTTCCAGTCTTATGCAGAGCTCAGTTCGCAATCATGTGTTGCGACGCGCAGTACTGGAGGTCTGTGGCGCCAACTCTCTCATCGACCCTTGATTCGAATTATTTTACAGGTGCTCGCTAACCTGACTTCTAATGCACAGACATGGACTTCCCTCGGTTTGAAGACATCTCTCCTGTCCTAGATAGAGATGCAAGTTCAAGCGACAACACAGCAACGAGCCACTCTTACTACAATACGCCCATTGAGTCCTGAAGCAGCGTCCTGTCAACCTAACATTCTTTTTTGTTCCTCAAGTCATCCAGGCTCTTCGCTTTGACCTTGGTGTGTATTTGGGGATCATCGTGATGTTCAAAAACATCTTCACCAGCATTGGGTCGACCCTCAATTGTTTCCCTTAAAGGATTACCACAACTTCTGCTGGAGTAAGTACCTTTTGTTTTTCATTCACACGGACCACGCTCACATACATCATAGTGCGGTGTTATTGATGTGGTGGAGAAGAGACCGTTGCGTTCCAGCGTGCTTGCCTCGATTTCCAAGTCACCCATGGCCGCATATTCTGTTGCTTGTTATATCCTGCAAATCAAGGATCGTCACAATGGGAATATTGTACATATCGGTAAGTTTTACCTGCCTTAAGAGTACAGCAACGGGCATTGAACTTGATTTCAGACTTTGGATTCCTGTTTGATATAGATAAGTTGTTCATTTCACCGCCGCCGATATGCTAACTGACTTCCTTCCTTCCTTGAATCCATAATGTCTCTTGAACCCATAGCACCTTTCAGCTGGTTTGGTATCAAAGTGTGCTCCATCAAACTGGTTGCTGCCTTGCGGCTTTGCACTGTCTTGAGACAGGTCTGGGAAGATTTATATGCCAAGCATCAGCGCTGTACTGGCGATAAAACCGTGTCTGTGGAGGAGAGGTCCTTCCTAAGAGATGCATGTACCTCGCTCATGATCAAGTTTGGAGGAGAGGCCACCATAGGTACTTTACTATCTCGAACCTGTGTTATACATACTGACTGCTCGCCTCCACATTCAGGCCCTCTGCTCGGTGTTCCCCCATCTTTCGTGCTCTCAGGTGTTTCCCCTGGTGTGTACATTGCCGCACAGGTGATTGTAGAACACATCCCTGTGATACCATCCACATCACTCAGCACCGAGCTTTCGTTGTCTATTGTTGATGGATTCACGGGCGCGTTACTTCTCTGCGGTCTCACATCTTTATCATGATACCTTGAGCAATTCTCTGATTATATTTCACAGGGAGTAAAGTTTGAACCCAGCTCCTTTAAGCTAACCCCCAAATGGTCGTTTTAATAGGCAGCAAATTCTCAAGGCTTCAAAATATTTCAACATCTGACGGTGAAGGCTTTTCTCTCCATCCAACCTCATGCAGATCAGCTTATCAGCACAGTCCAGCTCATGCTAGTAACCGGCCTCCCGTCATTCAATGGTGAGCCGACCATCAAGCACCTCAAATATTGGTTTGCACTTGGATTGAATGAGCATCAAGCTACCGAATGGATGATGGGAATCATCTGCAATGTTCATGCAAATGTGGGGAGCACAGCTTACGATGAGTTCCAACGGGTGCGTAATTCTTGCTTGCGATCATTAGACATTCTTATATGATTTGCTCAGATATAAAATGGTCAGTCAGATGCATGCTCGATGCGATCCCTTTGGGGCCTGAGGTGTTTGCAGGTATATGATAGCAATGCATCTGCTTACGATCAAGATGCATGGAGTGAGCTGGTCGAGGACCAACAGACTAAGGTTCGGATGGGAGCTACTTTAATATATTTGTCTCGGAAGCTTACAGGTTTGTTACAGAATCTCATCCAATCCATATTGGATACCATTGCATGTTCCTGGTGAGCATCAGAGCAAGTTCGGCAAGGCATGGTCTAAAATAATGCTCCTGCGTCTCTCCTCCATTACCTACATGAATATGAATATGCCATGTTTATGAATTATGGAATAATTGCACCCCCCCCCCCCCTCCTTTTTTTTTTCACAACTTGATTTTTCGCATGCGCTTTTGATATACTTAGTTGTCATTAGCTCACTGTACCGCAATAAACGATTTGCCCCTATCGATTTTGAAATAGGTGATTATGTAATTTTATATGTTGGTTTGATCGCCCTGATGGACACCATCATAGTGCGCCATTGTGTCCAAACTAGGACAAGGTCGAAGTGCACTGACGCCTGCCAACCACCCGTATATTACGATGTATAAGTATTCGACCATCGTGTGAATATCCCTTGAGCCTTTTGCTCCCTTACGAACTTTCAACATGTCAAATATCACTTCAAATTTTCTTTCTATTTTCCAGTCACCTTTGAACACCCTCCTTGAAATCGAACACACTGAGAATACCCTACAAACTTGGCTCTGGAAACAAGGAGCCGAAATTGTTAGTGTCCTTACTTCATTTGAGCATTGGTCTCTCATAACCTTACCTTCAGCTTCCAGACTCCCTACTTATTGCAGCTTCCATGCTGTTTGGATCGGTCGACCCGCATGACCTGATATCCCTCATTGACATGAGCCTCGTGGAGATCGCGATGCAAACACAACTCCAGCAAGAAGACGGTTTGACGGTCATCCCTGTGCAAAGAGGGCGATGCTTGATGGAGGAGAGAATGTATAGAGCACAAATGGAAGTTTAATTGTTTAGTAAAGCTATGGCCAACTTGTGCAAAACGCTGAACACTACGACTAGTTCAATTGATTCACGTAAGTCATTCTGTTTAATAGAACGCTGTACCAAAAAAACATCAAATTTATTTCTAGCTACATCGTGTCTTGCTCCAAAGATGCTGCCTGTGGATGCTGTCTATGTGGAATCATGCCAAGCACTCAGCTCGGCCAATTTCAACTGCTTCCCAGCTACTCAATACAAATGCATGGCATGGCTTTCCGCATGCTGCAAGGCGTCACTTCTGGCGTCATCACATTTGTACCACACCACAGAAGCTGGTAACAATGCCAACCAAACCCTACATGATTCTCTACAATATCCAAATCTTCATGAAAACCTCTTTAAGGTAAGCGCTTCTTACATATGAAGGATGCGGTGTTCTGACTTATTCAGCCCGGTGATTGAATTTTTAATCTACCGGGTTATTTGAAGCATTTTGTTGATGATGTGGCATATCGTGCATACCTGAGTGCATCTGTTGCAGAGTCAAACAAGTCTTTAGCATACCCCGACAATCGCGGCAGCTTCAAAGCAGAGTCCAAAATGTTGGACGAACTCAAGATTGGGTTCTGTATCATGTACTTGAAGAAGCAGCGCGCACAGGCTGAAGTTGATATGTTTGCTGAAGCAATAGCGTGCATTGCTATTGGTGGGTATGATAAACTTTCTGCCTCGAGTTCTCTCCATTAATGTGGCCGTTTGCTCGCAGATGGCATGTCTGCTGGAAGCGCTACAACATTCACATCACGTTCACCCGACCATGCCAATGATTGGTTTGACGATTGGCACTCGACCTCATCTTTGTCTTCCAGTGCCTCCAGACTTCTGTGACACTCGTGTTGCTGTACCACCATTTGTACAAGTAGGTGTTTCCCTTCAAAGACGAAGTATGTTAATAACTTTTACTTCTGTGTAGGTATTTTTTTGTACGTCGCCCTTATTGTACGTTATTCTTACTGCCCTTTTCATCAACTTTGCCTATCAATTAACATTTACTTCGTGGCCGCGCTTTTGATAGGTAGCACATCTGGCGTATGATATTTATATTCTAGCCACACTTACCCACTTGTTCTGAGCTTCCTCTTATCATTCACATCAGGTTGATTCTGCTCATTTGTTTCGACACCAGTTTTTTTATGGCTTTGTCAACTCATAATATAACTTGACACGCTTATATCCAGCACCCTCATAGTTATAGGGTATAGACTCTATTGTATCCTGTCTCTCGCTATATCATTTCTTGCCTTATGGAATTACTCAGATCTTAGTGCGAACTGCATGAACCTTATTCTTGATTTTATTTTATTTATATGAGTTGAAATTTGCGGCGCTGAAATCTAGAGGTGAAATAAAATGTGAGATCTTGATGTGTCCCACTTGGCTTATATGCGACTCAAGTATGGTACTGCTTTCTAATTACTTAGCACCTACAGTAGTCCAATGTTTGTAGATGCCAGTCGCGCTTGTGATGGGTGGACAGGCAAAAGCAAGCAGGCAGCTATATAGTTATTGTAGCTTCCATGTAATTTAGATAGGGTATATCTCATTATCCAAAAAATTTCACAATGCGATATAAGTCTACTGAAAATGTGATGATCAGCAGCCATTCAATTACAGCACATGGGCGGGTTGGTTATCACACTGTTAACTGCTTCCAAGGCACACATCAATGTGATAATTTTCTGGCACAGTCATATCATAAGTTAGATATGTGGGACACCATAATAATCATATTTAAAGCTGGTATCACACTGTTGAATACTTCTACGACACACATCAAGGTGACGTGTTTCTGGGATAGTCATACCATACAGAAGATATGTGAGACATAACAATAAAGCTAGTATCATAGTGTTGAATTCTTCCAAGATATGCATCAAGGTGATGTGTTTCTGGCACAGTCATACCGTACGGAAGATATGTGAGACACCATGATAATAATATTTAAGGTTAAAACATATCATACAATAATTTTGTTTGATTACCAATTGTATCTACTCATATCAACTTCCAGTTAATTTCCTGATGTAACAGGTTCTCCTCATCCATTATGATACTAGCGGGTTCCTGAAATATTCGAGTGCTTACAACCTCGACGGAAGGCAGATAGGTGGCTACACCATTCGGATATCCATTTGATTGTGACGAACCACGGACCACACGTCCAGTCCTACCAACGACGGCGGAGGGACTGAAGTCGGTCATGTGCAATCAATAAGTGGAATTTGCAGTGCCTTCTACTGCAACTGCACGTACAACCCGTGTTCCTGCCACACCGAAAAAGTAGGGACTTCCAATCCTTAAGCAACGACAATGCATTGGGCCACATATACCCCATGAAACTGCGACTTGGTCTACCCAATTCGGAGGTACATACAAGTCAAATACCCTTGCGGAAATAACAAGTATAACACCATGGATTGGATTACGCATGGATATCACATGATCCTTGTTATTTGTTGTCCATATCCATTGATTTCATGATGTTGGTAAATGTACGGCAGACGTATGGGTGGGTGGGGGGAAAACAATGTCTCTGAAGTATATGGTCGTGTGTAAGTGCTAACAGCCTGTCTTTAGTGAAAAACTGAATTTTGATGAAACGTCTGTCGCTGACTGTAGTGCACACATCCTGTGAAATAATAAGATATCGACATCTGCAAAGTAATGCGACGGGATGTTGCGCTCACATAGCTGGTGTTATGTTTCCAATTTGTGATATCCACATAAGAGCGGTCAGCATGGGAGCCAGTCACAAGTAAGCAAGAAGCGATACGCTCGTCAAAGACATCAACTAGAACGCACGTTTGCATTCTGGCTGTTTCATGCGAGCTGAGTTCGACCATGATGGACAGCTCACGAGCTAAGGGATGCGAGACGTTTGTGGAAATAGTTTTGAAGGTCATGGTGTAACAATATGCAGTTGGACTATCGTGGCATGACACATAGACCATGAGGTCCTGTCTATGGTCAATACATGTGAGATGCAAATTCGATTCGACGACATGTGTATGCGTTGTGAGCTTGGTCCCAGTTTTGAGATCAGTGACTTGGGATTTGTACCGGTAATGTGTTTGGCTTTCAGGCGAGCAAGCAGAAATATACAGGTGATTATGTGCAATGGAGCTAAATGTGATACCCACATTGATGTGGAGGCTCCTCGTACAATTGAGGTCGAAGGAGCTCCATGAGATTGAATTGCTCCTCAGCTTCCGCAAACACTCCGACAGAGACATGGTATACGGTCGTGGACAAACAGATATCAGTCCTTGTGATGCAAGCTCCATAGCATACTGCAACTTAGGAGAGCTTTGAACCGTGTTGTACATCATCTTGCAACTCTGTTCAATGGTATGTTAGTGACATTTCAAGGAGCCTGGAGCACACTGCAGATGACACACCCAAGAACACGTTATGATATCGTGTGGCTCAAGAAAGCCAAGGATATAGCAGAGTATTTCAGGCAACATCTGACAAATAAAAGCTTTCACAGTCTGACCAGTCATCCGATGCCAACGTGTAGGGGTTATCATCATGTAAATGCTTCGTGGAACTGCATTGAACATCAGGAAAAAACAAATATTGGTGTAGTCCCAGTGACAGCTACATATTGCTACATAGTCACTGTAGTGATATGTAGTTAAATACGGGGCTATGTAGAGCTACGGGAGGCGCTGGGAGTAGTTGTATTCACTGTAGTAGCCAATAGTCATATTCTAAATCAATCTAAGTACTCGTAGTGGACATACAAAAAGTCTCGAGGTCAATGAATGGATCTAAGTAAAATTCACTCACGAACTCATACACATTCGCACTTGTCCACATAGGATTGACCAATTGACCCATCTTGGGTATGAGGTGACATGGACGAATAATCTCGTCAACATGAATCACAGCCGAATTCCGTTGCAAGTGACGAGTTGAACGAGATATTAGACGCAGACCAGACGACTTGTCTGGCTCTCTGAATTGGGTAAACCATTCAACGTATGCAAGGGGTCGCGGGTACACGCCAAATTGACGAGGCAGCCTGAACAACACACGGACCTGCGCAACTCAGACAGCGGCTATAATTTAGATATTGTCATTGTAATACTTCGTAAAATGGAAGCCATTGACATACCATTCAGCATGAGTAGTGCCTTCGATGCTTGGACACCATCACTGCTAACCAGTGCCATGTCGAATCAATTGGGGGAACCTGGCTTCCATCCATAAGACGAAGGAAGCACTTCAGGCGTCGCCCTGACCTGTAGGCACTTGGGCAACTCGGACACACGAGAGTCAGGGGGAAGGATAACGACTACTTGACGGAAAGTGTCAAAACGATCTTGGGGACCAGGCACAATGCTATGATTGTGCGGCAAATGCTTCTGTAAAAATAATGTGAGAGCAGGCAGGAAATTGACGGCGCCATGCATGGTTTCGAGATGTTGAACAGATCAACGAGGATGTGGGGCAGTCTTTGCCAGAACATGAATGATATCCTGCGAAACAACAGGCACCACATCAAAGCCCTCATTTTCAGCATCAGAGTTGGAATCGTACTCAGATTCCCATTCTGTCCGGCGAGCGGCACGCTCAGCCACCCATTCAAGGTAAGTGGTTCGGCAGAAGACTGCCTCCTGGCGTTGAAGCCATAACACCATCTGTTCCTCGTAGTCATGCTTGTTACTTGCACGGTAAGCCTCTTTAGCAAAGTCGATGTGGAGGCGCTCGGGAAGTTCGGTGTTGAATCCATCTGCAGCTCCGAATAGTTTGATTGATTGTACATAGTGAGACAATTGATGTAGCTTTGGGATGTTGAAGTGTTCACGCACTGCGAGCTCCTGTAACACATCCTTGTGGGTGTGAAAAATGGCGAGGGCATTCTCCAGACCATCCAGAGATTCGCTCGTATGTGTATGAAGTCGTGTGTAATAGCAAAAATCCAGTAAGGCCTGTGTGACAATGACAACTTGACTGTGAATCAAAGCAGCTCAATTCATCAAAACCGAGCAAAAAGGCAGAATATCATAGTAAGTACCTTGGGACTGCACCAGTAATTAGCGCCATGAAAACACGCTGCATCTCCTTGTGCTCAGTTCCGGTCCATTGCTTGATGCTCGATATACCTTTTTTAAAATGACGGAGACCAGGATAGTCTGGAATGGCCTTGAAGCGAGCGTCAATTTCGGTTTCTCCCACAATGTCGAGGCACCATTTGACAAGATGGTCTGGTAACACTATCGAGGAGCAAATGCCTGCTACTCAGGTGAGCAAATGACTGCTCGACACTGAAGAGGCTGCCACGGTAGTGATGAAGATGAAGAAACTTTCGGATGGCTCCCACTATCCGAGTCATGTAAAAGTCGCCGATTTTGATGATGTCTCCAAAGACATCCTTGTAACCGCAATTTCTCTCTTCCGCTGTCTAATTGTCACAAAGGCGCCGTTTCCAGATTCCATTGCTGACGAGACAATGCTGGGAAAAGATGCATGGTGTGAGGCTTGCCAATTGAAAGGTGTTAACATTAAATTGACGCCTTTAGCAATTAAGATGGTAAGCCGTCTGTTATCCATGCATTCTTGGACTGACTTATATTATATCTTACCTTTGGAAAGCTCTTGAAACGCACATCACATGTGCATGGTGAACTCAAAACGAAGATGCAGTCACTTACTCGAACTTTCTTTGGCTTTCGGTCGAGTGAATTGAGGGACGTTATAAGGCAAAACCATGATCTAGCGGAAGCCTTGAAAGATGGTTCATCGTTCATTTTCAAGGTATATAGTGCAATGGTCTACTTTCATGTACTGACAGTGCTATTAGGACTGGACAGCGAAGACGGGGATATACAAGACCGAGCTACTCCAAGACAGTATCAATGTCATGTGGTTTGCAAACCGAAGCGACGAGGGCATCGTCTACAACCAGTTTTTCAACCCCATGCCTATCAAGCTTATTGCGCTCATGCTTACAACTGTAAGTCATCTCTCGCGTTCATATTATCATTGACATGCCTACTAATTGTTGTTAGATCGAATGCTGTATTGACGAGTGGATGCAGGGCGTGAAGGAAGACATCAGGTTCACAGCCATCGCATATGGATCTGTCTACCACAATCATTTGAACTCACTGCAGCGTTTTGACAAGCGCACGGCACCTTACAAGCTCTTTGAAAGGATTTGTGACAATTTGCATGACGTGGCTCGGTGAGTTTCACTCAAATTTTGCAAGTGCCAGTCTAATTTGCGAAGTTTCCATGCAGGTGTAGTAGATACACCCACTACATTCTCAGACGCATCCAGAATCAGTGATGAGGCAATCGAAGATGCCATTCGAGAACACCAGCTTCAGGAGGAGAGTGGGCAGCGAGGCTAGTGAGAGCAGGAGCTGAGGGTCGTAGCAGTACCGCCGTTAGTATCGACTGATCTGAATTTATTGATTTGTTGCTATTTCATGTGCTATAATCTGAGTCACTACTATGGTGCGCTATGGTGTGCTATATAGTTGCTTGGAGTCCCACTCCTATGAACTACAATCTACTACTGATTTACCACAGTTGCACCATGTGGTGCTACATAGTGCTACATAGCGCTATGTAGCACTACATAGTCACTTCAGTTGCTATGTAGAAGGCATGTAGCAACTGAGCTACATTGACTACACGGACTACATAGTACTATGTAGTCAGGTGGTTTTTTCCTGATGAATGTGGATTATTATTTGATGGGCGGACGGTGCAGGATGTTGTACCGCATGAAATATAGATTACAAACTGCGATGGGATAAATTTACTAGGTGCGAGAGATGTCAATGAAGTTTTGCGAGGTACGATGAACTCAACCGTGGCATGTAGTATCGCCGGGACATTCCTGCGGGCACCTGGCACTCTGTCATTTCATGTAAACCCATCATATTGCTGTATCATATTCACAAAGGCCCTCCGGACATACCTGTACCCTCCTCGTTGTCGGCTTGAAGAATATTATCAGAAGACGGCTGCCAGCCTGATCCAAATAACTGAACACTGTGTCGGTCAGTATCCTGCGCCCGAGGCCACAGCGATGACCTCCATCACTCAGCGAGTGCATCCTGGAGACCCTCATCATGTAATGGCTATCTTATTTGTCGTCGTTGCATCTGCCCTAACGTGATTTTGCATAGTACCTGCACAGCCAAGAGTTCAGGTAAATGACGGTGGAATGGTCGATAAGCTAGAAGTCAGACCAAACCCATGTAGGCTGTTCTTTTACGTGACATTTTTTCTCATTGAATGTTTACAGCACTATTGGATTATCTATGGTGGGCACAATAGTGGACATCGTGTCCACCCTGGTAGGACCTGTGGGTCCCACCGTAGTCCTGATCGTAGCAGGTGCTATACTCGCCGTATGGACCGGATATTGTTTGCACCACTATTTGTTCGTGAGCTAAAGGATATCGATATCAACATTCTTCCACATGCGGTGCTTTAGCGCTTCATGGCCTACATCGTCGTAGGGCCATCAAGCTCGCTGTTGCATCCTACTTCGACTCCCTGATGAGTGGAGAGGTCCATACTTGAATTCAGGATTACAACAGGCACTTGACCGTCCTTCAACGCGCGCATCGCGACACCTTGGATAAAATTCTTGAGGTGATGCAATTTTATAGCATCGACGCGGAAAAATGTCTATGCTTAAACATATTCTATCTTGCCATCCACATATGGTCAGTGTTGACCAGATGGATATTTCGTATCAGCCAGCAAACACCTTCACTTTAAGGACGACTGGCTCTTGAAAGCGGATCTCCGTGCTGATAACTTGAGCCACGAATTTCTTTTTTCATTGATTAGATATGAAGCCCATAGAATTACTTTCGTCGGATGTGTAGAGCTCATTTCTCGTTCTGCTTTCATCATGTAGAAAGGCTACAAAGTGTGATATATACTGCACCGAAGCCACATGCAAATTACATCTCAAGGACGACTCTGTAGTAGGTTTGAGATCTGAGAGTTTGGTCAATCTTCATATCTCCTGTGTGTCATGCCGCTACTACACATTACAGACATTGTGTTGTACCAATTGTGACATGCTATAACACTGTAAACCTCTTCAACACTCTAGCAAGATGGTCCCTCGAAATTTCATTACCGGTGACAAACTGGTTGCCTTTGTATAGTATTGTAGAAGCCGGCATCCGTTTTGAGACACCTAAATGCTTGAAGATAGCATCTGCTATATCAGCACTTGGCTTTGCAGTCTCCTGGTCTTCCACCCCGTGCTTGCTACCGCCTTTCACGTGATACTGTTGTCCTTGTGTGGCCATGATACACAACTTCTTAGTAAGGGACGCTTGAACAGTCCTGCCCAAACGATCAAAATTGATAAGTCCCCTTCAGAATAATTCATTACTCACTGATTCTTGGAGAAATACGCGGAACAGCTATCAACATCCGACATGGGTATGACATATTTTTGTTCTGATGCTTTTCAACCAAATGGGCAGCAGAGCATCGGAACAAAAATATATTTATCGGTTCGGGGTTCGGGACGGTTCTGGACCCGTTCGCCCAGTGCCAGAACCGAGAACCGTACTATGGTCCGGTTCTGGCCGACACCTGGACCATGGACCGAATCATAGGGGAACCGGACCAAAAGTCCGGTTCGAACCATGGTTCAGGACCGGACCAAGGCAGCACTAGAACTTAGAACAGTGGCACACTCCAACGTTAACTACCACCAGTCATGGTCCCTTCCCTTCCACTAGAAATCCAGCAAAATATATTGTCTCTTTCCATTTGCTATCCATCAGATGCCGCCAGAATAATGAGGGTATCACGTAGGACACACCGGTGGTAAGCATACGATTCAATATCGTAAATAAGGTTTTGTATTGATTGAATACTGAGGAAGAATTGAAACATTGATGTATAAAAATATCACACTCTCTGATGAAGACGAAATCAAGGAATTTATGGCATGTCTTCGCCTGCGACCAATGCACATTCAATTTGCAAAAACAGCCATTAACTCGCTGTATCTCGACGGTGTGGTGGATGCGTCAACTGTGTTGGACATCCTCTCGCTTTGTACTCGTGTGGAACATCTTGCTATATTGATTCATATATATCCGGCCATGGATGATCGATCATCACTATGGCTCACCTTCGATCATCTGCCACTCAAGTCCTTGGTGCTTTACACGGGCATCCAATTCATCAACTACATCACCACGTCCCATGTTTTGACGAACCTTACCCATCTTGATCTCATCGACAGAGAGGTGCTCAGAAACCCCGATACAGGCTTGGAGACTCTTCATTCTTTAACCCACATATGTCTGGTGCTTCGGATCGATAGTTCTCATCTAGCTGCAATCGTGCGTCTGGTCGGTAATGCACGCCTCTGCGTACTGGCGTTTCGCGTGGAAGATTCGCACAGTCAACAGTGAGTGGTTCGTCGCAAGCATCGCCAGTAGATTATCCTAAGCGATTTGAACAGAAGGGCATCGTTGCTTGTCACACGAACGCATCATCGAACTCGCAGGTTATGACCATTGCGAGAGCAGCCCTGAAGGCGATCTCGAAGACGATTTCGAAAGTGATCATGGAAGTGATCCTGAAAGCAATCCTGACACAGAACCATGCACAACTTATAGCATGGCGAGGACAAAGGGTTTCTAAAGAGATTACAGCCATTCAATTTACCATGGCAGGAGTGGAAGCTCGATGCCTGTATATGATGGCACTCGCCAACGTGAACTTGTTTGTGAGAGTACTATTAGATCCGTCATCCACTCTGCTTGATTAATCCAAGATGCGTGTTGTATTGTCTATTGACATCCGATTCCGCTGAGTCCGAAGATACCGAAGCCGGAGAGGAACGGGAGGAGGAGTAGAGGGTACGAGCGTAAGAAGTGTGCCGGGGGCGGAAGGAACAGGGAGTACCTGTTGACATCGGGACCGAAATGGTCCAAAGTAAATTTTTACCTTCAAAATAATCGAGAGCGCTTACCGTATAAATACTAGCGCCCAACCGTTGCGAGCGTCTCAGTTCTTTCTAGAGACTGAGACGTGAGTCTACACCTTTACCGTTATTGTTACACTTAACTGACTTAGCGTAGTTGCTCTTACCTGTTAGGTACACGCTTCGTCAATATGAGCTCTTTCTAGAGACTGAGACTTGCTCTTACCTGTTAGATCCTTTCTATCCCGCTCTACCTCTAATCTCTAGATTGTCCTGGTAAAGCGATCCTTGAGGTCATTCATATCTGAGAGCGTGACGGACGGCAAGGAAGCATGATGGGGTTCTCCTGACTTCAGCACGATGACTGCACTCCACGAGTATTGACTGGAAATGAGTATTATGACCGAGCCGTGGCACACTGCCGCTTGCAGGGTTTCATATCAAGGTGAGAGTAGGTACCGCGAGAACCACGCATCTCGGCTACCGCAGCGTCCCATCGCCTTGTAAGTCTCTTACACTCGGTTGTTGCCCGATTGATATAAGCTCTGTCTGTGATAGTGACAGGACTCTGGACAATTTTGAAACGCGTTTTCTCAGCTCCAAAGAACTCTGCGCCGGTCTCATATTTACCGACTCGAGTTGGAATCTTGAGTCGAGATGTCAGCGATCACTGCTGGCCACGGCTCGACTGCCTGTCAATATAGAAAGTCAAAGTCACAATTCAAGCTGTGGACGGAGATTGCTCCCTCAAGGTATCTGGAAAACCCAAATGTTTCCCCATTGCTGCACACTATCAATTACCCCTACGTGCATTGAACAAAAAATTTGGTCTCTACAAGAAGATCATCATTCATCTGCGCGGCTCTTCCCATTCTAATGCAGTTGACGTGCGAAACACGTTTCTGTCGATCATGGGGTATATGAAAGATGTTTTGATGGCGTTTCTGGCTGACGCTAGTGCATCCGCCAACCCACTAGAATCAAATTTTAGATCTCCAGCGTTGGATTATTACCTGTGGTTGGATCACAAGGCAGACGGTTTTGATGATACGGCTCGCGCGCGCCTGAAGATGCAATGGAACGTGACCTTCGATGCCCTCAAGAATGGAAAGTGCGAGGACATTTTGAAATTGCGTACGAGGCCTTCAATCCAAATCATGTGTGGCTCTAATTTTCAAGGAAGTTGATTGGCATGCATACCACAAGCTAAAATGCAACGACCATGATTTCTGTGGGGCGATTCAGGGCTGCGGTGGAGGTGAAGATGTCCAGTCCTTGTTCCTTGCTGTCGATGCCTTGATGGACGAACTTGACACACCTAACGAAACGGTTGGAACACAAGTTCGTTCTGCGGATGTAGCGCACCCGTGTATTCAGGCAAGTGCGATATATGAATCCTCGTGCTTCTGTTGACACCGCTTACTCCCTCAGCTACCTGGTGCTTCATCAGGAGTAATAACTGATGTGGATATCATAGATGCCCGTGGGCTGATTTCGACAAACGTATGCGATAACTGTAGGGCGACATCTGATCAGAAAGTGCTGGAGACCGAAACCAAGCAGCACGCGGTGGTGCAGCTGAAAGGAGATTGCTCGTATTCTGATCGCGAAGTACAAGCGGTGCATCGTTCACAAGACCAAGTGATTCAGACTGCAGTTGATCACAAAGAACATGCGGTCCAAGCCAACGAGGGTCGCTTCTATTCTCATACAGACCAAGTGATTCAGACTGTAACTGATCACAAGGAGCATGTGGTCCAAGTCAAAGAGGGTGGCTCCTATTCTCATAAAGAATTACACGCAATATCTCATATGCAAGATCGAAGTATCCAAACTGAAACAGCGAAGGAGCATTCAGGACAACTCGGGGGACATAATTCCCGTTCTGGTAATGTAGTACCTACTGCTGTGTCGCCAATCACTGATCAATGCATCAACTACGAATATTATGTGTGTCATACCATCTTCAGCCTGTCATTATCTCCAATGCTGACATGACTGAGATTATTAGGTTGATTTTAATGACCGGGCCTCATCCACCATTGATGACCAATGCTCTGGTGGTGTATCACAAATCCCCGCAGGTAGCGTTAAGCCACGGTCTCCACCTACGTACGATAGCTTCAGCGTAGTTGCAGAGGACTCGGCACGATATTCGGTTGATCCGCCCGCTAACAAATCCAGACTTCTTGATAGCGATGGTGGTCTACATACTGGTACAAGAAATTATGACCATACTGCGCCTCTCACGAAATCAGCACCACGAGGCCGTAAGCAAGAGTTTATTTCTACAACAAAACCTCAGAAAAAGGGCAGCAGGAAGTCGCCTTCGGAGCATGGAAGACCCGTTGTTTTTGCGAAACAACAACCCATGCCGAGAAAGAGGAAGGCAGGGATCGCACCTACGCAATCACGAAATTACACGATCGACGACCTCGTGTCTGAGGCTGAGATGGACACTCAAAACATTCAACCTCATGTAAGTAATTGAACCGTGTTCGGGTAGTCTCATCTGAATTCATCACATAGATGCGGTCATTTCTGCTTGATCCAAACAGAGATGAATTCATCGCGACACATATACAAACACATCATGATGAGCTATTATCCGTGGCTACCTTCATCGCATCCCTACTGCGCGCGGGAAGCCTATCAAATGATCTCAACCCAGGCGCATCATCATTGATGTCCATTAACCTCTGGCTTGATTATATCGCACAGGAGTGTAAACAGGCGACTGAGATGGACAATGGCACGCTGCCACCACTGGTATGTGATTATGCTTTTTTTTTTACTTTTACCATCTTCATTTTGTGGTATTCGATTGGCGATCAGTCCCACTGCGTCCTCCTCGAACTTTCCGCTTGCGCCAGGAAGGATGAAACGTCCTTACGTGACGCATTACAGAAAACCTTCTGGGTGAATATGTCCTCACGGTGGTATATAACCATGTTCAACTGACTGACTAATCGCTCAGGATAACAAGAGACGCAATCGTTTGTCACCCGTTCTTTTATATCTGTGCAAACTACGCAAGTCTCAGCCTGGTGCAGATGATGAGTATGCACGTGGATTCAAAGTTTTGGCACAGATGATACAAAACAGTCAGACGAAGCCTTGAGTCATTCATAGAAGTGCACAGCTACTCTTCTTCCGGGAGCCCTTCTCCGACTCTATGGATGTTACCCCACTGTCGTTCTATACATACATCATATATAGATTCATTGGCTCACAAAAGCTGACGAAGGGATGGTTATCGTCCACGTGCAGTTGCATGCAAGTAAAACTAGAAATCACCTTCAACGGTTTCACGGCTTTGAACAATTGATTACAAGCCGAGTTGAAGACATGCCAAATTATAGTTTCTGTAACATCTCAGTATTGTGGAGCACAACACAGACTTTGCGTGACATTAAAAATTTTCAAACGCCTTATGACGTCACGGCGCTGTCACGGGTATCATTGCACATGCAGTATACTGTATATCAGTAAATGCATTACTAAAGATTAGATACAAGCTCGATACATGAGGTAGGAGCCCACGATAGTTGTTGAGCCAGCCATGTAAATCAAATTTACCTGGTTGCGCCGGAAGCATTGCCGACAGAAGGCCAACCTCTGACTGAAGGAAACACTCCGTCACTTCCTTGGCGAACTTGTATTGCCGTTGTTTGGTCGAGTCCAGTCATGGACTCGCGATGGTTCACCGACTCCGTGTTGCAGAAATAGGCAAAGAACTCGTTGGAAGAAAAAATAGCACAAAGGAACGTGGCCTGAGCTAACACCAAGACATGCAGTCTGATGCGCATACAACAGAAAGTAACGCGCACACAAAAACAAGCAAGGCAGACATGCAGCAAAGAAAAAGAAAACAATTCACGCGCACAGGAAAATAAAGGGTGCCTGGAGGTTTAGAGGACCTTACAGAACCCTCCTCCAAACTTCGTGAGTTGGGAAAGCCATGCAGAAGATTCACTCCTCAAGCAGGCTACGTGAAGACTTCCGGAATTCTTTCCTGTTAGTGGACGAGTCTCCACCAAACGGGTTGATGATGCAAATCTCAAAGCAGGATACATGTAGGTGAATGTCCACGACATTGTTACACCTGTAAAGGTGCGACCACCGTATTGTATCTAAGCTAGGCATTGAGCCAACGGCCCACCCATAAGGAGCGACAGCAAGTGGGTAGTAGAAAGCAAAATTTGAGTTTGTGAACCCGTGATATGTTCACACGCCACGAGCAATTTTGTGGGAGAAATATATTACTATTAGACGAGGAAACCAGCAAATTTACGAGGAGAATACAGCTCTAAACTCAGTATGCTGACTCGTGGTCTCTGATCTATTCCAAAGAGATCTCTTTTCTTGCAAAATCGCAAACCATCTCTCTTTACATATCAACGACTGTCACGCTACAAGGATTCTTCAATCATGAATGCCAGCGCACTCCTTGCTAATACCCTACCTCCAGGTTGACGGACGTAGGCCGCTTTTCAATTTTCAAGACTTCATTCTAAGCTAATGCCTGTCTTTAAAAGATGCTGCAACGCGTCAAACTGCTACTCAGCAACTTGAGAGCGCTTCTAGGGAGAACTACGTATGTTCAATCACTCTTTTGTTTATTAGCCTTTAGCATGCTCAGACTTCTCACAGCCAGTGTATATGTTGATGTTATCAGATGAGCTCCGCAACGAGAATTCTCAAATCCATACCCGCAATGCCGCTAGTCTTGCACTCACAAATGCTCTCTCTGCCGGTGTACGTTAACGCGTTCTTCGTGACCTGTAATGATCTTGAAACATCTTGTATAGGATTCAACAAGGCAAGACGACTGCTCTGCAAGATGGATGGCCCTCGATGTCGATGCCAGACAGAAGATCAAGGAGGCATTCCCATTCGAAGCATTCAAACAAGGTATTCTCATATATATCCATTACTGTCTCTGCATTAGCATTCCTCGCTGCTGCTGACGTAGAAGACCGCCTCCGCCGTGCTACAGAACTCTTCGTCAAACGTATCAAAGAAAATCGCATCAGCCGTGGACGAGTCTTTTTCCGTCAGCAATTAGCGGCAATTCAACGCGAGCTTCAAAGTTTGCAAAGCTCTCCTGCGAGTGTTGGTCCTGGGTTCGGTGGGGAGGAGTATGAGGCGCAGAGGTACACGGAGGCTATTGGAGAGTATCAGACTTTGGAGAGGAGAGTTGTTCGTGAGCGTTTTCGTCTCATCTCATTTCAAACGCACGTCTCGTTTCAAAACCACATCTTGTTTTGTGTTTTGTCTCTATCACGAATGTAAATGCTGATCACACTTGTAGTGTCTCTCAACCTCCTGAACCTCGTACAAACCCTCATCATTATCGCGCTCGCTCTCGACATCGTTCAGGTCGTCCTCTCCCTGTTGGGTACAGGTCCGTTCTTCCTCGCTCGTATCATTCAATTCATTAACCTTATCAATCAATCAAGTTCAGACCCGCAGCACATTTGCACATCACCTCTTGGTTATGCATACCCAATCCTTTGCATGGCGTGCTACCCCTCGCACGCGTACTTGCACTCCTTCCTCTCCTCGTGGCGCTCTTCTTCCCTCGTGTCATTTACCTTTCTGCGCAATCATATGGTTACACAGAAGAAGTTGATGTATAGGGTACGTTGCAGACCCTTGCAATATTAGTGGGTCATTTGTGTGTGTCGTATGTATGTGTGTATAATTGTTGAACTGATCCAGCGCCATAGTATCATGTGCATCAGCCAGCTGATTGCGACACGCAGCGCAAAGTACCTGCAGACAGATCTCACGGATATAGGAATGTTCCTTCGACCCCCAAAGGTCAGTCTGATAGCACCAACAACGACAAAACATGATCGACCACATGGGGCTTTGTACAACTGAATGGCAACGGGACTCAAGACAACTATATATGGAAATCTCAACAGGGCAATATCAATTCATTTGCAAAGTCATGGATGAAGATACAGTCCTCCGTGTCTTCGATGTCTGAGTACACATTGAGGTCACATTCATCAACACATCTCAATACATCCGGTCCTCTCCTGTCACAACCGGTTCTTACTGGGGTTCAGCACTCATTCAAGTCCATCCCGCCTTCGCCGTCTATAGTCCGCCGAGCCACCACCTGGACCAGATCCCATTCACCCTCGTCAACGAAGCCTTCGGCAAGGCGCCTCGCGGCCTCGGCTTCACGGGACGAACATCCAGTATAGACTGGAAAGAGACAAGCGCTTCCGCAAGCCTTCCCACTTGCCGTTGGACTTCCCCTGTGAAGTATATACACATCTAATCGTCCGGTCGGAGCTCGTGAGCTCGACCAAGTGTTCTAAGGGCAGCCACACCACGACCGGCTTTACTGCAGGCTTCACCAAGTCTCAACCATGGGAGTTGGTCATCGACGTCCGCTCGGAGTGCCACTTGAAAAGCCTTGATGGATTCCGCATAGTTCCTCCTTATCTGTGCCCAACAAGGTTGGGGTGGAAATAAACGTCATAGTATGATCCTTTACCAGGTCCACAACACCAAGAGCCTTCCATGCCCACGCGTTTGTCGGAAGATACTTTCCCGAAGCCGCGCCATCACCTTCGTCCATACCCTCGTCCAGCCAGGCAAAAGTATCTAGGGGATGTAGTACCTCGTGTCCTGCGGCCATGAAGATATTGCCTGTCGGACAATGTCGCCATGCTCTGCTACAGAGTCTGAAATTGTAGCTTACCGATTAAATCGCTGTCGCTGAGCTTTACTTTACCGTTCGACAAATTCTTGTCTGTCATTTGCTGACAACAAACTAGATAATATGTCGTGATTATCTTCTTCGTGCTAGAATAGTATCATGCCGTTCATGAATCATTTCTGTAAGGTATTGCTACAAAAGAGGGTCATTGAAAATGTCAAGTATTCGGCCACAATGATGGTACAAACATGTAGTTCATCGAAGGCAAGCCTTGCACGCCTTAAACATTTAGTGAGTCCCATGGCGCATCTCGGTACTAAAAAATTAAGGATGACGCCCTGTGCCACTGTGCGGAGAGCATGAAGAGTCAATATGAAAAAGGCAGAGCAAGAGAATGCGAACCCAGGGAAGTAGGTGGGTTGCAGAGAACTGAAAGTGTCACTACGCAATTGTGAGCTACATTAAAAATAACAACCGAAAAAATGATTGACCTGATGGCGATCAGCAGAGAGAAATAAGCTCAGCCTAGGTGTTCTGCAATGGAGTGCAGGTCACTGATGAGACTGGAAAATAATCTGAAGAATGGCTTCTGTTGGAAGAGAACGACTTGTTCTTCGTGCATATTCGCCAGAACGAGGACGAATATCGACAAAATCTTGGTGAGATGTTGAACCTTCGCCTGGTCGTTGTCGATTCCAGAAGCGTCGCCATGATACTTGATGATATAGACGATCAACCGCGACATTGAGTCAAGAACTTGGAAAGCGTATTCGACTCTCCGTTTGCCATGCATTTGATGTAGCTGTTCACACTTGCCTCCGCACACACGCGGAAGAAGAATAAAGAAAAGTCTTCTACCTTCAAAATCTCCCGCTTCGTGAGCTGGGAGATGAAGGGGACGAAACCCTTCTCCAGGATGAGACCTCTGGAAGATGGAAACCCATTGCTGGAACCAGCTGAACAACTTTTCCTTGAGCTGCTCGGTTTCTGGCTTCACCGAGGGCTGGCGGATCACCATACCCTCCGTTGTGGGTCTGCAAACGACTCGGAGGTGCTCCAGGAGAGAATTCACCCTAGTACACTAGTCAATACGAGCCTACTGAATTCGGTCATAACGTACTCTTCATTAGCATCGCCAGCCTGTGCCAACTGTACAAGAACTTCAACAGGGTATGTCAACTGACTCTGGGAAGCAACCGGGGGGTCACTTGATAAACATTCGCATATGAGTACTGCTGCGAAGTTTTGCAAACTGAGGCGAGGATCGGTAAACAAAATTTTCGCTAGCTGTTGATCCCGAAGCGAAGTGCTGACAAGACCGCTTCGTAGCAGAGTCGCAGTGACAGGGATGTTGAGTTTGCGCTGAAGCAATGTGAGCGGTGTGTATGAATTAGGGTAATTCAGAACTAACCTCTGCAGAGCAGCCATGTGATAGGCTCTTTAGCGACGTCTTCGAACGTGCGGCACGGTTGGTCCAACAAGGCAGCATAAATCTCTCTGCCAAGCTGAGAGCTAGACTTATACAGGAGTTGAACAATCTTCTGAGACATGTGGAGGGGAGTGCGGTTATGATCGATAGAGCTCGCTACAACGAACAGGATCTGCTGAAAAAAGCGACGAAGATCATGATTGGGAGGAAGGGCAGCCAGTGATTGGATGGGCACAATCTCCCCGATCTCGGGCCAGAAGTTCTTGTGGTCACCGACACCATTTGTTAGTTTCATATTATGGCACACACAGATAATGGTACTGACTCCCGTTGCAGCGAGACCCCGAGATGTCTTTGTGTCCGCCATGTTCACTGCATTATGTGACGAACACGTGCTTTTCTAACAAAACAGCTCGTCAGACCAATTCATGACCGATTTGTGTCATCAAAATTTACCTGTTGTAGCATTCCGCCATGAGATTGAAGAAGACTCGTCCTAAGTTGCTCAGGCTCAGGACCTCCAAGGCGGGTTCTTGCTTGAGGATGTCGTTTAAGAAATAAAGAGCGCGAGGGCGGTGCTTGGGAGGAAATAGGTGGACAAACGATGTGGCCAGAATAATGTGAAAGGCCTTGCGTACTCTAAATGGACGATAAGTCATCACTGCAGTTTCAAGGTTCTAACAATTTCCACCCACTCTCGAAGTTCACGGGCTATGTTTGACTCATACCTGCGGACCAATTCCAGGCCGCTTTCATCCACTTTGATGGAATCTGTGTATTAAAGTTCCTGTAAATGGACTCGAGCCATGACCATGTTCGCTAGCAGCGAGTCCGGGAGTGCCGAAAAGGCATCCTGAAGAGATATGTCAGTGATATCTTCTGGAACGCAATTCAAGAACTTGCAAGAATAATGTCACAAGGATCGCTATCCACTGCGAAGGTCAATTCCTCTGTTGATCCTTCGTCATCATGGGTGACCTTGCTGTACGCAAAGTATCCTGTCAACATCAGCGCTAATGCGCTAGTCGGGAAGAGTTCTATGAACTGCTTGATATACGCAAGACCAAGACTCTCTAGAGTGTCAAGTTCAGTAATCATATTTAATTTGATGGCGTGCCCAGTACCAACTGTATCAGAATCTCTTCCTTCAAACCACATGCACCACGCAAACTCATCTGGGATGCCAATCGTCACAATACCGTGAACGATCTCATCCAACTACATGCCAACCTGACGTTTGTCTGGGTCAGTAGAGGGGAGTGCCAGGAATAATTGTTGTTTATATCGAATGAATTTCGATTCTGTAGCGCGCCGCAGTGTATCCGGTGTATGGGAGATTGAGAATATCATTGTATAACGCCGGAAGCTGCAAGGCGAAGATTAACTTGACAACCGGAGTATTCGCAAAGGCTGGTTTACCTTTGATGAATGCCAAACCTTGATCCCGATGCCTTTCCTAAGTTGCTCAGGCTTAGGACCTCCAAGACGGGTGCGTCGCTTGTCAAACTCAGACTTGATGAAGATCTCTTCTTCTCGTTCCGTCAGCGATATAAGTTCCTCATAGACAGCGAGTGAGTTGTTGATTGCCGATTGCGTAGGAAAATTGAGGACGACATGGGATTTGTAGGATCGGGTGGATGAAGTACAAAGAGGAGTCTGGTAGGTAAAGGAATAATGCATGAATGACCTGAACACGTTGAGTAAGACGACTTTAATATGGGCAAATTCATACTTCATGGCGTGTCCTATGTTCCCGGCAAATATCTATGAATTTTTGAAGGGTTTCGGCACATTTTGTGGCATCGTCGCTGTACGATTTCAACTCTCAGCCTCATCAAGTGTGCATCACGATGAGAACGCAATCACTTTTTTTCGCAAATATCTGCAATATGTGCTCCAGAGTATCCGTTAAATCGTTCCACCTGTGAGTTTGTTCGTAAAGCTTTGCGATACTTTATACATCAACTTCTTCTGTGTAACCATATGATTGCGCAGAAAGGTAAATGACACGAGGGAAGAAGAGCGCCACGAGGAGAGGAAGGAGTGCAAGTACGCGTGCGAGGGGTAGCACGCCATGCAAAGGATTGGGTATGCATAACCAAGAGGTGATGTGCAAATGTGCTGCGGGTCTGAACTTGATTGATTGATAAGGTTAATGAATTGAATGATACGAGCGAGGAAGAACGGACCTGTACCCAACAGGGAGAGGACGACCTGAACGATGTCGAGAGCGAGCGCGATAATGATGAGGGTTTGTACGAGGTTCAGGAGGTTGAGAGACACTACAAGTGTGATCAGCATTTACATTCGTGATAGAGACAAAACACAAAACAAGATGTGGTTTTGAAACGAGACGTGCGTTTGAAATGAGATGAGACGAAAACGCTCACGAACAACTCTCCTCTCCAAAGTCTGATACTCTCCAATAGCCTCCGTGTACCTCTGCGCCTCATACTCCTCCCCACCGAACCCAGGACCAACACTCGCAGGAGAGCTTTGCAAACTTTGAAGCTCGCGTTGAATTGCCGCTAATTGCTGACGGAAAAAGACTCGTCCACGGCTGATGCGATTTTCTTTGATACGTTTGACGAAGAGTTCTGTAGCACGGCGGAGGCGGTCTTCTACGTCAGCAGCAGCGAGGAATGCTAATGCAGAGACAGTAATGGATATATATGAGAATACCTTGTTTGAATGCTTCGAATGGGAATGCCTCCTTGATCTTCTGTCTGGCATCGACATCGAGGGCCATCCATCTTGCAGAGCAGTCGTCTTGCCTTGTTGAATCCTATACAAGATGTTTCAAGATCATTACAGGTCACGAAGAACGCGTTAACGTACACCGGCAGAGAGAGCATTTGTGAGTGCAAGACTAGCGGCATTGCGGGTATGGATTTGAGAATTCTCGTTGCGGAGCTCATCTGATAACATCAACATATACACTGGCTGTGAGAAGTCTGAGCATGCTAAAGGCTAATAAACAAAAGAGTGATTGAACATACGTAGTTCTCCCTAGAAGCGCTCTCAAGTTGCTGAGTAGCAGTTTGACGCGTTGCAGCATCTTTTAAAGACAGGCATTAGCTTAGAATGAAGTCTTGAAAATTGAAAAGCGGCCTACGTCCGTCAACCTGGAGGTAGGGTATTAGCAAGGAGTGCGCTGGCATTCATGATTGAAGAATCCTTGTAGCGTGACAGTCGTTGATATGTAAAGAGAGATGGTTTGCGATTTTGCAAGAAAAGAGATCTCTTTGGGACAGATCAGTTAAAGCGAGAGGCTTACATAAGCAGCCAATCAAGTGACAACTAAGATTGTCAACGCAGCACTCGCCATAAAAACATCTTCAAAGGTCCGAAATAGTAGTATAGCAGTTCCTTCATGTCACAAAACACCTTTAGGTACTATTTCAAGGTAAATGACCCATGACACTTCACTTTTCTTGCAAAGTGCCGTATTGTGGGTCATTTACTTTACTAGGATGTACAAGATTCGGCCCAAGCCTGGTAGGACCGAAACTCATCTCACTCCCGTAACTCGCTCAAGTTTCGACCCGCTTTAATTCCTTCACTCTTTCACTCAGGTAAATTCTCTGGCTCTCTGTCGCACGCATAGATTGTGTCAGTGTACATGGTAGGTATTTTACTATCTAGCTGTTTCCTCTGTGCAGCTTCCCAGCTGTATTCCGGCATGCCGACAATGTTATAACTGCTTCTGTCCGCGCCCAATATGCCATCGTCCTCTTTACTAATCGAGGTCTTCAACTCGGAGCCTGATGCCTTACTCTTGACAGTGGACACATTCAGTGTCGTCGCCTATCCTTCTTCAGCGCTGGTTTCGTGGAAGAAATTCCACTCAAGGCTGGCGCCTCGACAGTATATCCAGTACGATGTGCAATCCGGCTGGTGCCCGTTAACTCCCGATGACCTATTACATTGTCTAAACCCTGAGCGCGGAATATCAGCTGGTTATGCTAAGAAACGCAGGGGGCAGGAACACCCACATGATCCTCGCACCACTTGGGTGTGTATTCCATGGATCTGTATCAGCGTGGCCATGCAAGTCTCTATGCGGTGATCGTAGTGCGATGGAACATCACCAGTCACTGGTCAGGCAGTGTACTCTAGAGTGTCGTATGATGTGCACGTGTGGGGTGCCAAATCGGTCCAAAACATATTCAATAGTAAGCGTTCTTCTTCTTTGCGTCTCTGTCTCTCCCTTCCCTCTCCCATTGTTGGCGGAGACAAATTCTTTCACTTGTCTTCAAGACTAAATTGCTGTTTTTGGTGTCAGCGCACTTGAGTACATCTTCTTCGTAGTGCTTGCGAATGCGCTCGAACATTTGCATCCAAGGGGTCGTTGCAAGCGTTAAACACTGATGAAAAACGGTGGGAGTTGACCTCGCGAGTGTAACATGGATGAATAATACACATGATCCGAAGCGGCTTGAGACTCTGTGACCGATGAAGATATCAGTTAGCAACAACGGAGAGAACATTTGACAGACACATGTACAGTACCCAAACCATTCACCTGAGATTCCGCGTGAAGCTAAAGTTGATATGACAACACAGCTACACAAGGAAGGAGAAACAGCATGAACAGTCGGCAAAGACGGGCGCGTGCGGTTTTAGGACTTACAAAGTGATGTCGTCGACTGAATGCCTTCTGCACCAACACTGCTCAATAGCGTCTCGTAGTCTTGGTCTAGACCCGTCACCCAAGACTCAAGCATCGCAACTCTATACTTCCACTTCTCCTCTGGTAGCATCCCCCGTTTTTTTGCCTCTTCCTACGGTGGCAAGGGCCATGTTCTCGTGGATGCTTCTGGGGAAGACAGGTGCAGATGCTGCGCCGTGGGCCACGCCAGAGATGTGACACGACATGTACGAGGAGTCAATGTATCGCACATCCTGCTCGTCCAGAAGAACACAACCAGAGGTTGGATGATAAACCCCCATTAAGATTGCGCCAAGTGTGGACTTGCCAGAACCGCTTGATCCAACGATGAATATCGTCTAGTTCTTATGGTGATCTCCCTTGTCTGGATGTTCTTTTGAGATTGAAGTGGTTTTGTCCGGTAGAGAGGTTATATCTGTCAATTCAATTTGCACCTCTGTTTTCCAATCTTCTACAATCGGAGACGAGGGGGTGACATAGGGAGGTGAAGAGGTAGAGACGGATGATGCCGTGAAGTCCTTGCCTTGAAACTTGAGACAAACAACGCGTTTTTCTGCAATGATGGAACAGGCTTTTGCAAGAGACTCTGCGCCACGAAGAGCGTGTAATGATGTCAGCTGAAAATGGTGCAAATGGGTTCCGCCCTGGTAACGTGGAAGTGTGCACGCAATGCAGCAACAGTATATTCAAAGGATACACGGGTGACTCCTTGCAGAGAGACAGCATGCCATTATTTATCTTGAACCCAGCCTATTGCTGGTGGCCGCAGGGGATTCGAATCGACCTGACATTATGCTCCATACTGCACGGAGAGCCCTGGAGATAGACTCAAAGTGGGGTTGGACATACTTTCTCTAGGTAATTGGACGACCTTTCCTGAGCGGTGCATCTCTATAAGTTCACAAGGCCGAAGGTTATACCACGATAGGGCATGGTCATATTTTAGGATTTTTCCAGCTGAGAAGGAGATAAGGGTATACCGGTCAGTGACGGGCTACTGCCAGGTTGAATAGTGTACGAAGCAGAGACGGTGGATGTCTTTCAAGGTCGACGAGAATATATAGTCTGGCGCCTGAGTTCTGGGTTGCGATAGGAAAAGTCGTCAAAGTCATCCGAGTCCTCGTCATATTCGTCATCCTCGTCATAACCGTCATCCAGACTATCGACTGAAGTACGTGTCCTAGTACTGGAAGTAAACGTGATAGGATAAACTGGATGGCTGAGCGAGGACATAGGCTGTTTGGATGACATTGCATTTGGAAAGTATCCAATGCTTGACCTGCTTGACTTTCTGGTTATCGTCCAAGTGCGTTATGGACCACTGGCTGTAAGGCACTAGATTACGTAGCTTCTGTCGAGGGCAAAGCACAAGAGCCATGTTCGCTCACGGTCGTGGACTTCTTTATCCCGAGCTCGACCTTCTGGCGTATCTTGCCTGGTCATCGCTATCTTCCGATGCAGGTTCAGGTCTGTCGCCATCCTGAATGACAGAGGTCACTGAGTACACATTTTCGACGAAATGAATAGAGACAAACCTAATGGCCATTCCCAGTAATAACCAAGTCTTGTCGCACTCATGACGCTCTACGGCCATGCATCCCAAAAGAGTGAGGAGGAGATACGCCTGCACGATTTCAAGGGATTGATAACCTTTGGCAGGTACGCTAAACTTGAGTTTCTGTGGAAGCTCTGCAAGTTGCTGGTGAAGTTCCTGTCGCAGGGTGTAAGATTTTGATGATATCGCACACAATGCGAAAGACAAGTCTTTGCGCATTTGAGGGGTTGTAAACTTACTGGTGGGAACAGACAATCGAGGGCGTGTGGAACTCTGTCAAAGAGCTCGCAGTGCACGGTGTCACACGGCATGGTAGTACATAGTACGGACGTTCAGATGGTCAAAAAAAGCTAGCAGCCGATAGAACTCGTACCCTGAAGCTTTGAATTCAAATGACGGTAAGTAATATTGTTCACGAATTCGGATAGTAGCCGCAGTGCGTAGGTCAGTTCAAGTTGACGTTGCTGGAAACCTCATCTACAAGATATGAGCGATGAATTCATGAAAGAGATGCAGATCACGCATCGTCGCGCTGCATGGCATTTTTTTTCAACTTATTTACATATATCGCCACGTTTTTCGCGCTATTAGCGCAAATCAGCGTCAAAGAGCTATGGGTGAATTTGAGTGAATTTGCTGTCATTTACACTCGTCAATTAGGCCCTCACTGTGGGTCGTGCTAATTAGCCAGTCAACCAGAGCGGGATCCCTAATTCCCTGAACCCTATCGCGCTCAGCATGAGCGTCCTGAATACAATCGTTCAATTGATCGAGTTTGGTCAATGAGGTGAACTGCGAGGTGCAGAGGTTTGATATATATGCTTCTAGGATGTGGCTGCGCCGCTGCGGGGAAAATAAGCTTTTAATGCATTGACAATGGGACTTGAGTTCCACTTCCCGCTGTTCAAGCTCTGCTCTAGCCTCTCGCCTACTATAGGTCTCTCCGGTTGGCATTGGTTTCGGTGACTTGTGCAAGGAGAAATCTGTACACAGATACCATTGTTTCCGTGACACGAGATGGATGATCCAAAAATGATAAGAGCGGGATTACGTTGGGACACGAGGCTGGGTAGAGAAAGGTCTTACCAATGGTCTTACGAATAGTAGATGTTTGCATGCTACATCCATACTTCACCCATAATCCTATCTAACTATGTCTCCTTCAGGGCTGTCAGTGGAGGAAAATACTTCACGAATCATGGAGAAGATAATAGATTGCGGAATTCTTGATTCGAGCCCATCGATGTCAAGGGCCCCAAAAAACCTTCAACATACATTCAACTGTGCGGTCGATGATGGGTGGAATACAGAAGACGACAACGAAAAGTTGCTGGCAGCCATTAACAGCTGTGGAATTTTACAGCCATTTTTAAACCATAGGATAGAACATAAACGTCCGCGTGGACGGCCAAAAAGAAAGGCTATCAAACGTGAGTCCAAGGTCACTAACCTTTACATGGCCATGAATGAATATCAGGAGCAGGAACACATCACAAGCAAATGTTTGCTACGCGTGAAGTGGAGTCCTCCACTCAGATCCTGCAGCCTAATCGTCGGAAACAACACATTATTCATGCCACCACCACTACAGTCCTTGAGACGCCGATAGTGCAACTGCAGGAGGAACATTCACAACCATATGCAGGTGCTCCCTCTTTGAGGTTGAAGGGTGCATGCTTTCATCAAGGTCCAACAAGTCATCACGGAGAGGGAATCACTGTAGACAAAGATTTGTGCATCGAATTCCAGACTACCAGAGCAGCATGTGGGATATTTAATAAGGGGGAAGCTGCAAATCGCAGGGCGGTCACAGTAACGAAGCAGCCCAATGACACCAGGAGACAGTGGGGACATTCAGCGACAATCAGACAACGGGATACACGTAAGTCTCGTTATCCAAACCATTGACATGTGTGATTGATGATGGTGTCGGCTGCTTAGGTGATACAGAATCAATGCATGTTGATGGTCAGGGTGAGACCCATAACATTGGACATGGTGTTGAACGAGAGGTCATGCATACCATTAACTGCAGACCACAGTGGGATGGTAAGTTAGATCCCCTATGATCCGATTATATAGAGGTCACAATTTACATAGGGCCTAGAGATTTGACGGCGTCAGGCGAGATCGCCCCTCGTGGATCTTGTGGTGCAAGGCGTAATCAGGGTGCAGAAGATGATGTATATGATGACGAGGGAATGACTGTGGAATACGATATCACCGAATTACAAGCTGCTTTAGCAGCCTGTGGAATTATGGCTGAGGAGGAAGCTGCACATGGAAGAAGTGGCGTGGTGGTGAAGCAACCCAATCAAACCAAGCGACAGCGGGGAAGACCAAAGAAAAAACGGGTTCGACGACAGGATACTAGTAGGTGCTACACATGTCTACCATTGACCAATAACTCAATGTGGAGTCAGCTGATTCTGGAAATATCGAGCCGATGCATCACGACGGTCAGGATGAGACACAGAACCCAGGACACGGTGTTGGAGGGCAGGTCATCCATGCCACTATTCGCGCAGCACCTGTCAAACCCGTGAAGCCACCAAATATAGTCAAGCGACAGCGTGGAAGGCCAATGAAACGAGCGTCAAGACGAAACCAAAGTAGTAGGTCCATCACCATACCGTCATGGTTGAGTGTGGGGTACGCATACTCAAGAAACGATGTAGATGGTCATAATGGGACTCACAACAGGACCGATTGTGGTGAACGACGAGTGATTCATGCCATAAACGGTCCAAACCCTGGTCCACCGCCAGAAAAACCACGTGTCGTACAAGATGCGGATGCTGATGTACCACGTAACACTGAGAAATGTGCGATTGAAGTTCATGCGGTCATGACTATAGAAACAGATATGGTCAGTGGCGCTGCAAACACAGTGCACAGACGTAGCAGTGAATGCCCCATTCCCGAGGTGTTTTCAGGCCAACAACGACAACAACGTGCATCAGGTATGTTGCAAACATCAGTGGATTTACAAGTCATATTGAATGTTATTACAAGTGAAAAAAAACAATGTCGTGATCACGGCCCAGGACTCGGAGAGCCACAACGATATTCAAGATTACAACCACGTGGAGAATGATGTACTGGAGGGTAACCATCACTATGATACTGCAGAAGGTGAGTATCGTATGTCCTGTGGTGTGTGCCAAATATCTGACCGATATCTTAAAACACTCAACGTGCCCCTTGCAATGATCACACGCAGGATACTCAGATGACGACTACCGACCGACGCCCATATCACCTTGTGAAAACATGCGATCCATATCACCCCAGAGGCTTCCTGCTCCACCTATATTACTAAGTCCGGAAGACATTGCGTGTGAGTACTACCTATACGCAGCAACTGTTATGTCAATATAACCGTATCTATCCATAGCTCGTGCGCTGGCGCGGCCATTGCGGTGGATGCACGCCGTCGAGAATTTGCACACGCTCATGGTAAAAACGTGGCTGGATTCACAGGTTGCCAACTACTATTTGGCTCATGCCTGGTATGATCGGCTAGGACGAAGCAAAGTTAGATTTGTCGACATGTTTGCCGCAGCTGGGACCGCAACCGAATGGACTGCTGACGAACTGAATTTCTTCAGGTTGGACCATTTTGTAACTGAGGGTCAGTGTCCGATGATCCCTGTCGGATTCATAGTTCATTGTATCAATCACTTTTTCGCGGTCATATTCGACTACAATCGACGTACGGCCCACGTCCTTGGCCGCTTTATTTCAGCTGAGGGGATAACTGCGGCGGCAGAAGGTGGAAAAAAAAATCCAAATGACTGGAATGCCTGGGATGGGCCTCGGCGGTGGGGCAGCATTGCGACGCTGCATGGGTGGATGGCAGGAGACTCTGATGATGTTTGCATCATCGCGAAAAACTGGATCCAAAACGGAGTCGACTGCGGCCCGATAGCTTGCTCAGTGCTAGAGCAAGCTCTCAGCTCTGGATTGGATGATAATGGTGATCTCCCCCTGCAGTCTTTTCATATACCATGCGGACACATACTGCGAATTGCTATGTTGAAGGTTATTGCAGGTCGAATCAAGAAGAGCTGCAGTGATTATTTAATGTTCCGGGATGAACAACAAGACGAGACAGGAGATTATAGTTATAGTGTTCTGAGCGATGATGAAATTCACGCCATCCACACTGGACAGCATCAGGCGCGGTGTGTAGCCATGTTACACACATTATATGTTGCCAGTGCAACATGCCAGAGTTGCCATCGCCACCATGCATTCCAAGCCATCCAGAGTCCAAACAGTGCCAATCAGCATGTAGATGATGATCACGCCCATAACGCCACCTCTGAAGTCGACGAAGAAGTCGACGACGAAGCAGATAACCAATCGCTGGGATATAAGCTCTCTGTTGTTAGGAAGGAGAATCTTGTAAAGCTGTTGAAATCGAATAAGGAATTACGTGGATCACGCGATCGCAATGCTATATCTCGACGTGCCGTCGGAACACATATCCCAGTGGCTCCAAACGGGCCTCCTCAACTCAGTCACACTGGCGATTTGCAGAGATCTGCGTTCGCCAGAGCGTCTCGTAAAAAGGTTTCCACATGGAGTCAGGGGATCATGGAGCGATTCCCTCGTCCAACTATACCGGTGCCACTGTCAGCTTACACAGGCCGTAGATGGTTGACAGATGACAAGACTTTTGACGATTACGAGGGTGGCCCTACTATAGAGATGCTCATACCTCCCATCTACATCCAACCAACCATGATATACCACTCTACGGGGATGGAGTTGTCTGCAGGGTGGGCATCGTGGGTCGACCATGGATACAGGATCAGGCCAAGTTCGTTCCAAATGTTCTATCTATGCCGGCCAATCGAAACCATGGAACACATCATGCCAATCGGTACTACAGAGTTCTATGATCCCTCCAACCAGGTTTCTGATCGCGTGACTGGCGGATATAGTTTAGAGAGGTCAGATTCCAATCACACTGTAGCGGTAAACGACGTCATCTGCATGTCAGCTTCTGAGATGATCCGCTTAGCCAAAGATGATCCACCTCTCGACCAGCCATCGGCGTCTGGACGTGAGATCTTTATATGTGGCCGTACACGTTTTTCCGATGGCGCCAAATACATATGTGTCGATCTGGAGCGAGATTCTGTCGCTGTTGATGTAGATGACGTGGGGGTCTCGGTGGATATCGACAGTATCATTTGGACTACCAGTGAATTCAGACTCAAAGGCACAGTTGGCATTTATATGACGCCGCTCTTTCAGTCAAGGCCAGGTATCTTCAAGCACAATCACGTATGGATAGACATACTGATTCCTCAGTCCGAAGAGGATTTTCATGCGCCTGGAGGCAGGACAGAATGGTTGTCCAAGCGGTTCAACATGTCGGCCATCCCCCATATTTGCATTGGACGCATCTCCAGTGCTTCGTCGATCCTCAATTTATACATGATGTTCCCGCGAATGATACATCGGCACCCCATCAATGGTCGAATGATCACATTGATGCCACATGACGTAATAGATATATTCTACGACATGGTCCTACTTCCTTCTATTGGCCATTTTAACGACATCAGCTGGGACCCATACCTCAAGCAAACCCTAGAGGAGGCAAGATATAAGACAAGGGGTGCTTCTGGTCGTCCAGGTGGACGGGTAGCTCCTAAAATCATTCCTTTGTCCAACGATGACTTCATGAGGGTCCAAAACCGGATGCACGAGATCATCAAAGATGGGCTTGAGCAGTTGAGTATGTATGGCTCATGTTTTTTTGTGCTCGAGGGAAAAGGCATTAAGCTCCTCACCAAGGACGGCCAGAGGGGACAATATAGTGGGCCAGAAGAAGCACTGATTCGAAATATCCCCGATCTTGATTGGCATCATATGCGGAATAGGAAACACGGGGAACTCTTGGTCGATATAGGTGTCTCGTTGACGCCACATGTATCAACTATTCCCCTAGTTGGGCTGTGGAGATTAGACGCGTTGGAAGCCTCGTTCGGTGCAGGGGGGTACAAAAGAGGGGATATACATCATCACAACACCCTGTCCAGATACGGGGCGATGCAGGCAGAGATGCAGCAAGATAGAGCTCATCAGACCCATGTCTCATTCAGGAGCGCGTATAATCTATACTACGAAGCTGTGCGCACCACCAGAAATCAAGTGAGCTTCGCTTCTGACAGCGATGCTTACAAATTATCCCCCTCATACATGGCGGAATGCTTCGATATTATCAAGATTTTGACCGGTTGCAAGAAAAAGACCTATGGAGTCCGGGACGAGTATAGGGTCAGTGGAAAGGCCGCCATAATCATTTTAGATGAGATTATTTCAAAGGTGAGCAATTTGCAACCTCGAAACTTGGCGCAACACTCATCACCATACACCAAGGCGAAAGAATATGTAAAATCTCACCCAATCCTTTGGATACCATCCTATGTGTGGTTCGAGTTCATCGCGAGGCGAGTGCGGGAGATTCAGAGAACTCAAATCAACATTGTTAAGAAAAATCCTCCAAACCTGGGCGTCCTCACTGGCATTCTCAATCATATGCTCCGGGCCACAACATCGACCCCTATAGTCTTCGACAGTCATGTGCGCGAGTCCCTTGCACTGATCAATTACAAGACGGTGTTAGAGACCGCGGGCATGCTTTTCCTCCAAGAATTTGACATTTGCAGCACAACATGCCTGGACGAGGTTCAGCAGGTCGACGATGTACATGTACTCGCTCTCATGGGAGTCGATGCAAAGGCGCAGAGAGACAGGGCAGTTGCCCTAGCGGATGAATGCAGAGATGATGTTGATTCTGAATCGGAGGAGTTTCCACTTGGAAGGACACCATCATGGAGACGTCTGAAGTTGGCCGTTGCAAACACACCAGCAGTAATTATGAGGCCATGGACATGGCCTGTGACTCTTTTCAATGCCTCAGTTTCAGTTGGACGACTGTTCGTCATGTTCACCCGGCAGATATGGCTCATGCTCATTGATGGCGTGTTCAAGGGGATGAGGCCATACCCAACATCTCTCCAGGATGCCATGAGATGTTGGACAGTAACAAGTGTGGATGATACCCTTGCGTGTGTCACCTTCGAAGCATGTAATGTCGGAATACAAAACCGTGCTGGAATTACTCCAGGTCGCATGGGTCCTAGGGCCAAATCATTTGCTGATCGATCCACGATCTTTTTTCCGGATCTACATGAAACAAGGAAGGATTGCTCACAGTGGGATGAGTTGTGGAAAGGAGATGGGTACATTGCCGAGTATCACCGGGCTCTGGATGGAATGGAAGAAGCACAACAAGCAGCACTTCGTAGCGAACTACACGAAGTGTTTTCCAACCTCCATTGCCTTCCAGCGAGTGGTGGATCTCAGGTCTGGAAGGTAAAACGATCAGCAGCAGTCTTCATCACCAACCCGGTGTTCTATAGGATGGATTGCCTTGGGAACACCGATAATCATACAATCAGACGAACTAAAGCCCGTCGTCCAATGAAAATTCTCAAGGGGAAACGCGTATTTGCAGCGGACCTCACGGACTCGATCCATTTTGATGCCCGCGGAAATCGTAGAGTGCAGACTGATAGACAAAAGCGTCGATGTCTGATAAAAAAGATGTCGATGGCAAACAAGAACAAAAGGATCCCGCCCCCTCCGCGTGCTCGCAAGATCAGGCCCTTTCCCATGGCTAGAGAACAAATTTAGGTGTGCTGCGCGAAAAGAGGGATAGATACAGAGTTAATGTTTCGATACCATATTGCCCCTACTCAACAACAATGTTATATTGGCATTTATCTCACAAAGTCCTTGCAGAGTTCCGAAGATAAAATGCAAATTCACTGAGCAAGCGACACATTCGGTGCGCATGAATCTTTCAGTGCTTGTAGGCACAGACGTAATGGAGTCACATTAAACCATGACAGATTCGCTGTAGGCCATAGTGACTCTTGAAGCACTTTCCGCCATCCGACTAGTTGATGCAGAGGCACTACTTAACCAACAGTTTATAGCAACAATAGTACTGCATGCATTCGACCCGAAACGACACAGCGCTCACTACTGCGTTCCGTAATTTCGGGTTCGCTAGCTGACTTGGTCTAAAATGGCTCGACGCGAGGCTGTGAGATTCATGGGCGGGGAATTGTGCACCATAGCAATTACGCGGGTTACAGCATGGTATGGGCTTCCATGCTTGCAGATAAATATCACCACAGGTGTTTCTTTGTGTCTCCTGCAGTGCAGTCGATCACAATTTTCTAGTGTGATACTTCTGTCATCGTGACACGCCCGCAAAATGGAACTTAAAAACAGGAACCATACTGCCTCAAACGCTGTCGCCATGCAGGATGTATGATGGTTGTCGCTAACATATTCATAGGCCACTGTTCTGCTGACGTCGCAGAGGTGTATCATTGGAGATTATGAGCTAGTATGGGCAAAATGACACTTCCAATACGGCGTTGACCCATACTCGTCGGAGTTCTTCTATGTGTGATCGCAAGACATCGAATAGTGCGACTTTGATGGCTCATGTAACAGCCACATTTGTTGTAGGGATGTTGAAAAAAGACTTGCAGCCAAACGTCAACGACATTATTAAGCAGCGAGTCAACCAAAACTCAACGCCAGGGCCCACGGCCCAAATGCTCCCATAAGGAGCGAAGCGAAGGTGATGGTGAATGTGAAAGAAAGCTCAGCGCTCAAGCCTATAATATTTGAACTTGTGATCACGTGCGGTTCCCACGCCACGAATGCACAATATTTGCACTCCAGAGCTCACCACTCCAAGTATTTATAATTGGCGCTGTGTGCATTTCTCGTCGAATGATTAATTGTATGGACCAGAAATATCCTGTGTGAGAATGAAGCTGTTATTTTCAAAGGTCTTGACATATGGCATCATGGAGTATGTACGCGCGGTAAGAACAGAAGATCACGATATGGCAAAGTCACAGGTGCCTGTATATCGACACAATGTAGCAAAAATCGAATAGTACCTCACAAACGCGTGGACAAGCCAAGGTCAGCTGAGCTGACGGGCGACACCCCGCATGTCAGCAAACCAATCCTATAAATTAGCTGACTGCCTGTGAAACTGAAGACAATGTAAACTCACCTCTTCATCGTTCTTGGACAGGTGACGAGGATCAGATGCACTTTGTGTGTTGAGGTCGCTGATCGACTGTGATGCTTCGAACTGGATGGTGATAGGTTTTCTGGATGGGGATGCTGCACCCACCTCCAAGTCAACGACTTTCGTCTCAGAAGACTTGCACTTGGATCCAGAACCGTCTTCGACAGCCTTAAAACATGATCCATCCACAGGCTCACTCAAAGAACCAGCGACGCCTTCGACAATGTCTACCATAGCTTCTTCCATCTCAGGCGCTTCATTCGTAAATACATCTCCATCAGTGTCTGTGACAGCCTCTCTTGTATCCGCAGGCTCACTGGTCGAACCTGAACTTTCGTCCAAGAGAAGGGCTTTGGTGATGTTAGATATAGATGACGATACAGATTCAGGAGACAGTGTAGGGTGCGTCATGGTGCCACCACCCATTGGGAAGTCGCTGTTCGAAGCAGGAGTCATACTGTTGAACGCTGGTGACGTAGATCGAATTCCACCCTTGACACGTTTCGCAGCAGGCACATGTTCCGACTGAAAATATATGTAGTTGGAAATATGCGTCAATATTTACAATTATTCCAAGGTTTGAGCTCACCTCTGGCGTCAACGTCGCATTCGATAACGTCCGTTTACGCTTTACCGTACCGTTTCCCACCCGATGATCCATTAAATCTCCCACATCGTCGGATTCACTGCTGTGAACGAATGATAATAACCAGGGGAGCTCGTGAGCCGACATCATGCTGATGGTGGTGAGTTAGGCTACGGTGCGCGCATATGACATACCTTGCAACCGGCGTCGGTGGGGATGGCAGGGGCCTGAGTCGAGGGTGGCTGCTTCCCATTTCGTTTGCCGACTCCAGCTCACCGAGTTGACGGAAGATACACGCGAGGTATTCAGGGTGTGTGTCCATGTGCGCCGTCGCAGCGTACAAGCGTTCCATGCCCAAGGCTTCGAGAAAATGATCATTGCTGTCAAACTTAAACCAACCTGGATGTTTTGGGATCACCAATCCCTTTAATTCATCTTCCTTGCTGATGCCTGCAAGCTCGCAGAAGCGACAAGATATCCAAGCGGCAAGTTTGAGAAAAACATGCGAGTTGCCCTCCTTGAAAACTTTCTCGATATATTCGTCCCAGTCATCCAAATCACGAGGAAATTTCACATGATCGTAGTCCCCGGGCTCTGCCTGATAGATGTTAGAACATGTTTAGTTGTCAGATCATGTCGCTTAATTACGTTTGATTCTGGTATGTCTACCCCAGAGTGATGCTAAGCAATATGGTCAGTCGAGGGCCTGGGCTGGTTCCCTGCAAAAAGTACCCACCTCATCTTCGGATTCAATTGTCTCCTTAGACTTCGCTTTGTTCTTCTGGCTTGCATCCTTCCGGCTCCGCCCGCCTTTCGTAGACTTGTAGACTTTTTTGGCGACTTCTTTAGCATTCTTCGGAATCTCTTGGATATCACCGTCTTTCATGTCTGAATCACCCGAGGCGTCACGCTAATGAATAAATATAAGCATCAAGTATCCAGATTCACCGCAAGATGCACCCACATGTACTTCGGCTTCAAGTGTCCCCTTGGATCTAGACTTCACGTTGTTATTCGTTGTCGCGTTTTTTGGGTGGCGTACACCTTTGGTAGACGTATAAATCCTTTTTTCGACTTCCTTGGTTTCAAACGTATTCGCTGATGCTTCGAGAACAACATCCTTCATGTCAGAAAAACCCTGGGCATCATGCAGATCCATCAATAATGACGACTAAACACATCTGGTATTCTACGAGAAACACGCACCTCGTCCTCCGGCTGGATCGTCATTTCGGACCTCACTACCTCCTTAGTCCTGGCGTGGATAATACGATTACGGGGCTTCTTGATATTCTCCTGCAACTCAAATATATTCTGAACAACGTCGCTATCGATTGCATTGATTTCAGAGTTTTTCGCTGGTATTGAGCTTCCCACCAGTGAAAGAGTTGTTTTGACACTGGGGTTAGGCTTTCCGGCCCTCTGCTCCTGAGTCGCTGTATGAGAACCTTTGGCATTTACATTGCGGCTACCCTTGCGAGTCTTGCCAGCCATATCCACAGGGGATGTATTAACATCCGCCGTAGTGAGATTTTTGAGCCGTAAAGTCTTCTGGTTCTGATTCGTCTCTGCTGCCTTGTGAATAGTGTGTGGTTCGATGACCTGTGTGATCATTTCTTCGAGCGAACGCTGATGAGTGCGAGAAGAACCGCACACGTCGTCCCCATCTTTGCAGAACGTGTCATGCATTTTTCCGAGATCAACTAAAGGAAATGCTGAGCATAGAGTCTTGGGTAGAGTCATACTCACGCTGCTGCACTGGTGTATAGGACTTCTTCTGCAGAAAGTCGTTCCACGTGCGATCGATCTTTTCGAGTGCGGTGGCTTGTTGCTCATTTGTAAATGAGTTGCCGGCCAACGCCATAGCGAAGTGAAAGTCAAGGTAGCATGACCGCCACTTGGAACGTGGACCGGGAGAATCCCTTTGAAGCTCAGTTATGAACTTATCCAGAACGTCCACGAAGTACTGTGCGAGGGATAAGTGGAAATCGACGTCCTCTTTGACACCGTCTGATTCTGGAAGTGCCATCAGAGCCTTTGCGCTACCTCGGTACAGTTGAAGCTGGTGCACAAGGACCGACACTGCATCCTGGCACTCTTTTGGCACCTTTTCCTAAGCAATGAGATATGTCAGAACATAAAATTATATTACATAACATATATGTGGTTATTCACCTTGTTAATACCGTGTATCAGGAAGACTTGAGTCTTCTGCGATTCCAGTGACACCGGGAGGGATATGAGAAAATCTCCAACCTCCTGCGAAATTTCCTGGACGCGGAGGCAGACTGGCTGCTCGACGGAGCTTTCGCTTTTGAGCATGATGCAGTGAGGATGCTATAAGCCTAGACTCTCAGTTTGACGTTGAATCAGAGAAATATAAGGGGATTGTTCACGTGATCCTTGCTATCGTAAGTGTATAGTAAGCAGCGAGCTTACAGAAACCTTGTTAAAATTATGTACACATTTGGATTCTGGAACTGTAAGATTCAGCGAACACATCATGAATCAGGCACTAGATTACAAGAACAAGCCCATCCACCTCGTCATACAGCAACATTCGAAAGCATTCATAGATCAGGTCTTGTTACATGAAGTGTCATTGAAATCGAGCAAGAACACGCCCACGCTGTCAGTTGGCCTCGACAAGGTGAGAACATTGAAGTTTTAACTACAATCATGACTTCAAGTATTGCATGAATCTGTAGGTAAAGGTGCCGAAAGCCTGCCGCGACGCGGTCGTGGCCCTCGTTCACCAAGTCCATGTGTACCAAAAGACTTCAAAGGTGTTGATGTCACTCTCACCATCACAGGCCATCAACGACGATATCGAATTCTACGTGGCAATCTCGGTATATCTCATCAATGTGCTTGCGGCTTTCTGTGAAGAAATCAAGAATGATGCACCACGCGCGCGTGACAGGTGGTGGTCAACTCGCCTTGATTATCATTTCACCATGGCATTCAACGAGAACTCATTGACCGAGAAGCAGCAGGCCAATGCACTGGAGTCGCTGGAGCTCTCTTGGAATGACTTTATTGAGAAAAAGGAGAGATGTCTCCCGGTGAAACACCGTGAGTTATATGTATCTGTGAACCTCCTTTCCAACTCTTCTCTCAGTGGATAGCGCAACAATCCACGACACATTCTGTAAGAACGGAAGCAACATGTGCGGCGGTTCGACTGCCCATTTGTTGTCGATTGAGGAAATGATTGCTCAGGCAACAGCGGAGCACTACACCGACCGTGCCGCGGAGATCACAGAAAATCAGCAAGTGGAAATTACACAGCTCGAAGGTGCCATTGACATGGATGAAGTAAATACTGGCGAATGTTCTACAATGCGCGATATCTACGGCGAAGGACCTGATCCATTAAATGAGCATGGGGACATTATCGGAATGGACTTTAATACCAGAATTGCTTTTGTGACGGAGAGCGAGGATAATCATGATGTCGACATATTAGAACCCCATTACATGGTCAATGACGCCATCGCGCAGCCGCACACACCTTCGATGCACGTATTTCTGTCGATTGATGAGGCCGGTACTTCTTCTAGCTTGTGTATTCTCATCGTTGACCTTGTCTATTAATTAGATCAATGACCAGCACGCGTCGAGCGGACAGGGATCCAGCAACTTCGACAATGCCATATCGGTGGCCCTACAAGTTACCCCACAACGAGACACCGTGACTGACAACGTTCTTGTGAGTCTCGAACTTCTTAGTAGTATGCCTGATAAACATAGGCACATAGTCGCCTGGTATATATGACTCCGATTGTTCAAAACGATGGAGAAATGTAAATGATCAGGATGAATGGCTTCATATATCCCAGATGGGGACGTCTCGTGTCTTTCTAAAGCTTGCCACCTGGATGCACCATCGCTCTCGTCAGCTCGCCAGTATACCCATGGACAGGGACGTAGTTGGATCTGTGGTTTCAGATACGTTTGGTGTCTATGGCGACAAAAACTTCTATGAAGCTCTTGGCATTAAATGTCTATTGTCCTCGCTTATGAATATGGACACAGATCCAGGCAACCTTGCCCATGTCTTCCATGCGATAGGGAAGTCCTGCCATCAACGTGACGTGGGAAGTACAAACCCTCGCACATCGTCCTCATATCAACCAACTGCACCTCTCAGGTATGTGCTATGTATTTAGGAGATTTGAACTCACACCACCGCCAGGATGATACGGAACGAGGATGTTGATCGGTTCATGACATCAGATCACGATGGTCGTGTGGATGCCGAAGGCATACATAACGCTAGCCAGGGCGAAGTTACACATATACGTGATACGGTGGAGAACTCTCAAGAGTGTGCTTCGGTGGATGGCGGACACGGTGAAGCGACGATCAAGCGTAAGCGGACGCTATGGAGTAGTCAACCTCTATCAAAGGTCAGTTCCATCGGCTTTCATTTATATAGATGCTGATTGATACAAGGATGGTGACCGAGGGACTGAAAAACGTCCTAAACTTGATATTCATCTGATGCCCGTGCGGGATATACCGCAGGTTATCACCTCCGCCTCACCGCCAGCAGCGAACAACATTTCGCTAGCTCTCGATAACCATTGCGCACTCAGCAAAGACATCCCAGTGGATAGCACAGCATTTTCAGGTTCAATTATCCATGAAAATAATCTTGATAACGAATGTAGTGCTTCCTCTGACCCCAGTAATACTAGGTCGATTGTCACAGATCCTGTTGAAGATATGGATACGATGACGGGGGTTTCCCCAGCGTATGGAACACCGTCCGAGGTCACCGGAGATTCCTTTAATCGCGATCGTGAAGACGCTAATGGGTCAGAGGATGATCGTGAAACAGGTGGTTCTAGCGTCGAGGTCACAGCTGCGGACACACAAGGAAGCGTCAGCAACAATGTTACCAGCGTCAGTACTTCCGTTGCCAATACAATGTTTGTCACACCATCGTGGATGGATTCTCCGTGGACAGACCTATCCGGAGAGCATGTACCTCCGGCGATCCCCGCATGGATCAATGCCCTTCAAATGGTGGATAGGTCGCCTTCTCGCATCCGGGTACCACCTGGAGTTGGTACAGGATTTCGGTGGCCCGATCCCGCTCTTTTTACTCACACAGAGAGCAACACGCAACTGGCTAGGTACCTACTGCATTATTTAAGCTGTCGGTCTTGGTTGGGGCTCGTAAATCGTAGGGCACTCTTCCGTTCTATATACTGGAAGGAGTTCCTGGAAGGCTTGTCGGTGGAGAAGCGGTTGAAGAGATCGCCCCCGAATTCCATGATCTATTCCATATTGAACCGTGGGCATGGTATAGATGAAGGAGAGGCGAGAGTGATACGCGAGCAAGCTTTGGATGCGTTCGAGGCCGACGCACAGGAAACCAAGGATGTGTTTAAGTGGGTGGATGTCCAGTTTAATTGCCGCGTGGCTTTGACCTTCGAGTTCCGTGGGCTCGCGTTTCGACTGAAAGACCTACTCAACTTTCCCCCGTTCATCATATCTCACATCATATGGGAACTGTGCGAAAACAACTTCGCCGATGATGTGTTGTGGCTGGATGCATTGTTTAGGCGGGGTCGTGATTCTACCGACACCTATGGTCCAGAACGCAGCATGGAAGTTTACAGCCTCTGTGGTAAGCAGGAGTCTAACACTCCAATGCCGCTGGTGAATATCTTGACTTTCATCTTTTAAAACGTGATCTCACATTTGAGTTGTATGATTTCCTTAGGTTCGAAGTTCCTTTGGGTCACAAAGATGGAGAAAGCGGGTGACGCATGTGGAAGCTTTCCGGCAGCTCATGTCGACATGGCCTCAGTTCCCTGACCACCTCAAGACGCCAGTTCCAACTGAAAATGAATACTCGTTCCAGGCAACAGAGGTCAACGTCATCGCCTTTTATGCGCAAACTCACTTCGACTACATCGGTCGCCTGCCTGTCATGCCTCGTCACGTGCCAGATATTGGTCCGAAGTGGCTGTATAATGTGTTCCGCAAAAATCTATGAATGTAGAGTTCGTCACGAATCTAACTGATAATTTCTTGGTTGGCTAGTGTCGCGAAGCATTTGTCAAACAGCAGAACGGAACGCGTCTAAATTGTATTATATTCGTCACAAAGCAGTGATTTTTATGTGTCGTCAGGTGATGGCATTTCTGCATGACTCCGGCACTTCCAATTAGATCGCTCAATTCTGTTTTAATCGTGGTCATTCAACCTGGTAATTAATTGTATTGGAGAGTGATACCTATGTTAAAATTTTTGTGTCTAAGTAGCTATAAATACGAGTTTTGTGAAAGTGCCGACTTCTGTGGGGGTGCCGAGTGTAGTGAGCAAGAGTTGCAAATCTGAGACCTCATTTTCATATCTCAATAACTACTACAATTAAAACAAAATAATTACATGGAACTGTAGCTACATATGCCACGGAAGAGTTATAGCTGACAGAAGAACGAAAAGTGTTTAAACGATGCTGCCTGAGGGATGCCAACGTGAGGTGCCAAAACAGAGTCTGAACCCCGACAGGCAAATTTCAAATGGCACACAAAAGGACGGCTGTAATCAGAACTCAGTACTCCGCTCCCAACTATCACGCTTGAGCATTCTATAATGACCTTGCATCGTCGATGACACCAGCAATATTCTACTCTTGCAATCTTGCATTAAAAATGCGCAGGAGATAAGATTAGTTTTGGGATCTTGCCCTGGTTGATCTACACGAAAACTGATGACTGATGACTTTGGGTGATAAATCTGATGCCGAGGGTGTTCATCATGTTTTCATTTTACTAAACAAAATACAGTATTATAATTTACAAGGACTCGCCTTCGGTCGGCTGGTTGCCCTCATCCTATTTTCATGAGTCGCGAAGGCGTAGGTGGAATTTCAATGTATTTACAGTAGCAAGTGCAATATTTGCACAGTTTTGATCTTCGTTTGCCTCTGAAATAAGCACAACGTGTCTCTTCGCGTCCTTACTTTCGATAACGCTGTATACAGTTGACCGTGAGCAAAAATTCGGATCTGTTCGCAACTCGAGCACGGTTCGTGCTAACGTCAGTCCTTGACAACCATTAAACGTGGTTGCATATGCGATTCGCAGAGTGAAAAGGAGACACGCACAACAGCATGACGCAGAAAACGGATAGAGCCGCGAAAAAAAGAGTGAATTCAACGACACAGCATGACGTAGTGGACAACATGCCGGCGGTTATGCGTGCTTGCTTATATGCATTAGATGGATGAAGAAGCCTCCCAACGAAGTAAGCAAAACCAAATTGGTATATTGTGTCACGTGGATCAACAGTACGTGTAAACAGTCAGTTAAACAGACTCTATAAAACCTTCCATAATGCTCAATAGGCGGACGTTCGTTGCCCATAGCTTGCCCACCAATGCGCTTGGAAATCAGAGGACGATCCAGCAACCACATTCATCGGGCATCGGCAAGACGCGTACGAAACGCAACGCGAAAGCAAAAAGTTTTAATTCGCCGTATCAGAAAATGACTCCCATTCTTTCCGACGACAACATAGTTATGGATCAAGACCATGAGGAACATCAGGGGCGGGATGATAACTCAGAGATAGTCAAAGATGCAATACTAGTACGCATCACTCACACCTAACGAAAGGAATGTTATTAACAAATCCTACAGCATTGTATCTACTGCCAGGACATTGGTTCGTTCATCTGGACGTGCACGAATAAATTGTGCGCGACCACTGTGTGTGTCAGCAAAGCGAAGGGGGACCACGGATGTGTAGATGCTTCTCCAGATGATCTTACGGAAGAGGTAAGGGTCACGGAAGCGACATTTCAATGCCCTCAATGTTACCGTGCAAGTAAGAGACCCATTCCTGTAAGTCATACGTCAGTGCTAAGGTTTAATATCGTTGTTCATCAAGTCGTATTAGTATGCCATACGCGGATATGCGGTAAGACAAGAATTCATTCACCGAAACTATTTTCCCCTTCTTGCTGTCTTCCTGTCTTGGAGCGGCTTTGGGCGAGAATTCGCTGCGGATGTTGTTAAAAGGACCCTTGAGGAGCATTTTTATTATGACTGTACCAGAGTATGACATAAATTTGATCAGGGAAGTATCGTATCTGATGCTGATGGTAGTGATTCCCAGTTGCGCAGCATCTCCCGGAAGCTCAAAGGTCGAAACAATCGCCCCCAGGCTGTCAAACCCGATTTCGACTGGCTCGCTCGGCTCAAATACCAAGGAAACCTTCTGGTGTTCATTGACACCCATTCAGACACTACCACAGGTAATCTCGTCGTATCTGGGAATGCAGCCAACTCTAATTCGGTGCCTATGCACGAGGTCAGTGACTTACATGCCAAGTGCTTATGAGAAAGCTTATTCTTCCGCATCTAGCTTCTTCAAAACTACTTGGGAGATAATTTGAAGTTCGCGACGCAAGCAATGCGCGAAATTAACGAGGCAGGTGTTATGGGTCCATGCATTCGTGGCCTAGTTGTGTGCGCGTGTGGATCAACGGGCAGAGTGACTGAAAGCATCAATTCCCTGAAACGTCTCGTCGAGCTGTACGTGTTTGCATGTGAATTGGTTTTCCTTAGTTCCGACGCACAAGAATCCTCCGTATAGCGATATCTTTGATTTCGTGTTGTCTTTCGCTGGCGTATCAACTATCGATACACTCGTTGTACCTGCCATAAATCGCTTCATCGAAAACGTGTTCGTATACGACATGAAGTTTTGGACTGCGCTGGAGCAATCGTTCGGCGAGGACAGGCACGCCTTGAACAGCTCCCCTGTCATGTTGTCGTTTGCGGAAACCCACATTGACACCGAAAATAAGCGACAGCGCGTGGTTGATACTAGGGTTCTGGCATACTCAAATTTCAAAGATGGTCGACCATGGGGCCTTGACGTTTATCGGTGCTCCTGTGGCGCCACGGCCCATAACATGATTTTTCATCCCGATGGGAAGCAGCTCCATGGGAAGCAGTGGATACTCACCAAGATGAAATACGAGTGCCTTCAGTGTGGCACTATTCGCCGGCACATCCCCTGTCCAACTTGGATCAAAAAAGCTGATACAGGAAATTTTGGACGCGTTTCGTACCAATGGCCGCTTAGTCTCTCGCAGCGACAAGATATCGGCATCACTCATTAATCACTTCCTTGTTAGGCAGGTGGGCCACGAGTAAGACTCCAACTGTTTCGGTTGATCTCTGTTTTAAACTGTATAAATAGTAGTGTTTAACAGTCTGTCTATTCTATTTACTGCCGCCTATGTAGACCGTATGCATGATACAATACAAACTGTTTTCTGCGGTACCTAGCCTTGTGACGCGATACTGAGATGTTGACTGCTGGTATCGAAAAAATGTCATGAGACATAATTGGGTCTGCTGACAGGATCTACGATCTCCCTGCCACTGCACCAAGGTATGTGCATCCAGCTTCGTCTGGCTCGGGAGTCGCTGACATGATCTGATAGGTTGGGCTGGACAGAGCGTTAGCTCGGGGGGGACGCAGGCAGGGTGGAGCCGCTCACCCAACTAGCGGGAACGATCTGCGGCTCATAGCTGCCTAGCCCAACAAGACGTGGAGGCGACGGTCATAACGACGCTGCGTTGGCCATGTGCTGAGAGGAAATTTGTTCGAATGCACGAATATATGTTTCGTACGCTAATGACTTCCAGCGGCCGGCAATGCGAACTATTTCGGGGTCGACTTTCTTCGCGAGATAAAAGGAAGCACCGCCTATTCGAAAGG